GTCTTGAAGGACTATTGTTGATGACGGTAGCTACCACAGTAGCCTGGCTTGCTCCATACAGAGACCAAAAGCGATATTTCGGAAAACATATACAAATGAGAATTCATTATACTCATTGGAGAGAGAGGTAGCGGAAATGGCATTTGTACCCAAGATCTTCAAATTAGTTTCAGGTCCATTAATAGGAAAAGATTAAGTTGACGAAAAACATTTTAAACTCATAAGTACAGTATCGACATGTTTGCATAAAGCCTACTCCGGCGTTCTGTTAATAAAAAGTACAAAATTCAGATGGCTGCCTAATTTTGGTTTAGGATGACGTTGCTTTGAGCAACTCCTCATATATATTGCCCTATCAATAATTTTTTTATCTGTTGATAAGTCAGGTAAGGTTTAAAAAATAAAAGGCGGGACAATAACCTAATCTAACTTATTGTAACCCAAAAATAAACATAATCTATGCCAAGGAAACAGTGGAGAAATATCAGGATAGCGTCGTCCATGCACTTTTAAATTAATCTGAGCAACAGCAATATAAACAATATATATCAAAAGGTCAGACGTGGACAGCAGACAGATCGCTACGTCACATTATTTACATATTCTATTTTAACATAATAATTAATAGTTGCACGTTTCAGTAATTTGATTATAACTGAAACTGTACCTGGTGAAAATAAGAAGAAAATTTAACGAGTTTTTGCAGTTATTGTATGCATAACTTGGTAAAAACCTCGATTCCTCAATAGTTATTGACAAAATTTCTACAATTTAATTGATCTCGCGTTTTGATTAAGATTACTATAAAACTATAATAAATTTACAGATTTTTCAAGATCACAATTTTAATTAATATTGAGGTATATGTTTAATTGTGCTCATTTTCATATCGGTGGTCTTTTGTCCACGAGCTAGGGGTCAGTATCACCAATACATTGTACCTATAGATAATGGTCATTTAATTAATAACTATCATTTTCTATTATGTCATTGCGATACTGATTGACAAAACTATCTATCAAAATTAAATTTAACCATCCTTGACGAGAGTGAATTATCAAGAGAATTATGGTCAATCGATATGTAATCAGTGATTGCCTATTATGTCAGTTGTCTTTTATCGGTACTCCCATAGTTTGTGTACTAGGTTAGAGTTGGGCCATAATTTTATTCTGATTTTCCTTATTTTAGTTCTATTACGAGTTCGGGGACTGTCTGTGTTATCCAAGTGAATATACCCCTTTTACCATACGCTTCCGTACCTTCACACAACTTGATGTAAAGTAGACGATCAAAATTAGATACCTCCCTATTGGTACACATAATCTGGAAAGCCCTTTTATCAGTGGTGTTTTCACACCTTTGATTCCGAACTGAATGCGTACGTGTGGGCTGCTAGTTTTGGAAGTCCCCGAATATTTCCGGTAAGAAATTTCATAACCAATTTTTGACACCGTGGGTTAGATTGAAGGAATGGGATTCGAACCTAACGTTCAATGACAGTATATTCATATTCGTTCTAACCACTAAGCCATCGCTTCCAATTGAAGTTGAGTGATTTAATTTTAAAAAAAAATTATTTGAGTTTATCAGTTGTGCATTTCCCAATTTATGGTTATTTAGTTCCTATTTAAACCGGTTTCTGTTATGTATAATTTCAGATACGGATCAGACCATTTTTATTTATTCTTGCATCAAATCAAGGCAAATTTGTGCATTTTCAAAGAATTTAGTAGATTCACATTGAGGTTGCAAGGGTGAGCAAGGTTTTCGGACCAGGGGCTAAAATGTTGTCCACCTAGACTGGCGTGCCGTGTAAGTGTGACGTCAAAAGTTACATTTTATGAACAATATTTACAATAATACAAAAGCAAAATTGGAAAACAATAAGCCTCGTGTCAAACTAAATTCAATCGCAACAAATTCCCTGAGCTATTTCTTAGCTAAAACATCGAAATTTGGTTTTAGTTTGGTTATGGCAGCATCAGGCGGGCCAGATTGATTTACTTAACGGGTCGGATATGGCCCGGGGGCGTAGTTTGCCGATGTCAGGGTTAGAGCGTTGAGCCTAACTATATTCAAAAAATTTCGCCCATCACCTCACTCACCCAGGATATAATATATAAGGCGAGCGATGCCGTAAAACTCTTCATAGAAAAAAGCCACAGGTCAAAATATTCAAAAACATTTGTTATAAATGTTTTCAGATCGCACGAAATAATTCTAACATGTTTAATAATATCAATCTATTCACGAGTCGATACTAATGGCATAGCGTGTTACCTACAGAAAGCATGTAGCTATCAATTTATGCAAACATACGCGAAAAAGGTACAATTCAAACGGATACACGAGTTCTTTATCACGTTGTCACGTTTCAAATGCTTTTTATAAGGTTTCGACGATATACTTAGAATGGTAGAATCATCTCTAATTTATAGTAAATGTGACGAACTTTTTGATAGTAAAATATAAATACTTAAATTCTACTTAAAATGAAAATAACTGAAAATGACGTCATAATATGGTAAAAAGATTCCAGGGCGAAATATAAAACTTCTAGGAAAGGTTTCGTCTAATAGAAGAAGACTGCGTTAATTTGAATTTTTTATTTAAATATCATTAGACCTTTAATTAACGCTGATTTATATTCATGCTACGTTACCTTGCTCTGGGCATTAGTAAGGTAATCACAGTAACGACAAGATGTCGTTGTCAGTTTCAATCAGTTTCGTATTGCCTGCGTTTAGGTTTGCGTTGAAGTACGCTGAAAAAATTTATGCCAGATCAGAGATACGTAAATGTTACAAAGTGTCCAACCGAGTTATAGGATTTCAACAAGAAGAGACAGATGGTCTATCTAATGCGACTACTATGTTTTCGGAAGGATCGGTTAAAAAAGAGGAATATGTGTGTGAAAAATAAGCATTGGTTTTCCTATTTTGCAAAGAGTGAAATTCGCAGTGCATACATTTATTTAAGTGAAGGCGTAGCTGGCCGAAAATGGGAGGGGGGGTATGACGAAACAGTTATTTTATTGCAACCCTGAGAATATTGTTATTGATTTCATTTACCGTAAATATATTTAGTAAAATACTTCAAAATGAATTGAAATCGGAAATTTGTATTTTAGGTATCAGTAGCTTTATCCATCAGTCAACGAAGTGATATGTCATATATCGTGAATTAAATATTATGATACTATTTTTATACGTTTTTCACTCCGAGTAAGGCTTATTATCATCAATCGTTGAGCATGGTTGTTGAAAAACTATCGGGGTGGATTGGTGAAAAAGGCTCGACCATGATCGTGGCATCTCCGACATTGCACCAGTGATTGCCGTTTGCGGCAACTAGAAACTTACCCGCCAAGGCGATAGTTCATCTATACATAGTTAACTCGACATTATGATTCCGGGGTGGTAACGGATTCTAACCCCAAATTGAAAAAGTGAGGCCAATTATAATCGATTTCAAGCATTATAAAACGATGTATTTATAATTTATTTCATAAAAAGGGTGTTTCTTAATCAAAAGACTAAACAGTGGTTACGGGTCGTGGCGCAGTAAACCTTGGCTTACTATAGGTATCGATAATATTACTATTTGTGATCGAAGGTTAGCCATACTCGAACCCCATATATCGACCAAACATGAACAATAGAGTTTTGCGCAACTATTCATTTATATAAATAAATAATAACGAAAGCATTAAATCGTCATAATTGTTAAACAAGCCGATTATCAAGTCAGGCCGCGAACCCGGCCGCGTTCGTCTGTGACTCTGATCTCGATGGTGATCATGTACCGGTAATTAAGCATAGAAAGTGTTAAGGGCTTAATTACACGTATTGTAATGTTTTCACAGCTATCACAATTTCGGTAAGGAGAAAATGCCGATTTTCACCTCATCTAAATGACGCTTACCAATGCTCCGAATCGAATACTCATTGAAAGGAATTTCAACATGTCACTTGAGTAGACGTAACTTGACTTGATCAAACTTTTTTTTCTAATTGAGGGAGGTGTTTCTTTCAACCTCTAATTAATCGCTTCGAACGAGACCATGAACAATCACTCACTGACGTGCAGGCAACTACTATGTTTTTTTTAAACTAGCATTTTCCGGTTTGTTGTATCCTGTTCAATGTATAGACTATTATACAGTGGGCGAGAGATGGTCACGTGATTCAAAACTTCAATCTACGACATAAACATGATGGCTCAAAGTACCCAATTGCGTGAAAGCAAACAAAAAATCAACAAATAGTTTGTCAACAAATCTCAATTTTATTGGTTATTTCACCGGAAAAAACGCCCGCAGGTTCGATAAAATTGTAATTTTGAGATCGTATCATTTTCGCAGTATTGAAAATTGACAGCAAAAGAAATTTGGTACTTTAAGTCGTTCGTGGTGGTCGATATGTATGTTACAGACCACGGTAACGTTAAAGTCGTTCGTACTCACGGGTATTAGGTAAACTAGAACGATGTATTATGTCTCAAATAGATCATATGTAGCGTTTTATGTATTCACTGATATTATTTTGATTGAAAATTTTCGTTTCATAAGAAAGTTAGTGTTTGAACATGTAGTTGATTAATCTCAGGGACGGCAATATCGCATTCTTCGCTTCGACTGGGTAGTAGAAAATTGAGTAGGTGGAAATTGACCATTTTTTTGTTTGGATGTTTGCTTGTGCATGGCTTTTCAAAGAGAAGAAGAAAAATGTCGAGATGAATATTAGCGTTTCCAATTGATGCTCAAACCAAAAAAACATGAAATTTCGATCTTTGATAATTTTCGTTATTTTGTTTTCGGCAAACTAAGAAAACCAGCATATATGCAACTGGATGTTATCGACATACTAAAAAGTCTGCAGGAGGGCCTCCTAATTAAATTTTTCGTTAAAAAAATTTGAAAGAATTTTTTTTTGCAGCATTCAGGTCACGTATAACATTCAAATTTGCCTAATCATGACAATATATTTATGTTTTCAGAAATTTGCTATCTTAAATAATCAATATTATAAAAAAAAATTATTCCTGATATTTAAAGGCTAATCACCGACCAACAAAAGTAAGAAAAACAATATGAAATTTGCTTATAAAGGTAAGTTTTGATATGATTGAATATTTTTGTGACATTTTGATCAAACTATCGAACAATTGTTATTCATTTTCACGCTAAGTATGTTTATTGTAATGTGATATTTGTAAATGTAAGTGAAACTGTAATAATAGAAATTCAACATTGTAAAAGGCGATTCGTGAAATGGCATTTCTACTAATAATAAACGTGTATTACCTTTGTTCCCGCAGTGATTAAAGCTTTGTTTAACGAAAGAAAGCACATGTGACAAATGTGAGGTCAAAACTGGCAACATGATTTAGAATTGATTAATTATAATTGAACTAGACTCGAACCCGTGGAGTAGCGTTTTAGATAAATGTTTTTGTACTTGACGAAGATTGCTCGTCTCATTTTCCATATTCGTTTACTTTCGATATTCCCATTACTGATTACCTCGGCGGTGAAATTGAACAATTATTCCATTGTCCAGATTGCTGACGTCATGTTTTTAATGCACGAGTGATCGGTCCATTTCTTCCTGATGCGATCTTTTCAATAGGTCACGAAGGGCTATATAGCCAATCGTGTGAAAAAATCCTTTCAAAATTTGTGAACATTACTTGTTCATATCGACGTTGCATATTCGTAAATTTCAAAACCGAAAAGTTGGAACTATAAAAAAGAGCCCCCAATTTCTATAACTTATTGAGTAGAAATGTAATATCATTAATCACTAAAACAATATCAGATTTTATAACAAAAATAAATCACAGGAAATGACATTTCAAACAGTTTTAGTTTTCTTAATATATTTTAAAGTTTATTTAAAAAGTTATGAAATAATAGAAATGTGTTAGCGGATGTCTATATTGAAAATCGTGATAATATTAACTTCCAAAAATAAAATTATGACGTCATAACGGGCTCGACTTCTAAATTGGAAACAAAAAAAACAAATATAAACTTGTGTCAACCAATTATATATATACGGTGTAATTTATGATAGAAATGGATGCATTTAACCTTATTTTTGTAATCGAATATGCTCGGTAAATGGATAAATCCGGTCTGAGTTCTAGTTATATCCTTTGTCAATCTTGATATGTGTTAGTTTATTTCTATTACAATTTATAATCTCACCTTTTATTAAATTTAAATTTAATCGCAGGTTGTCTGGACTTAATTATACCACAAATGGTAGCTTAAATTTACACCTTCCCGGAATTCGGATACCATAATTTCTGATTTGGTAATAGGTAGAACCGCATAATAAGGTAATTAGAGAATCAAAAGTGTGAAAACAAAGGATATTTAATCATCAAGATGATATCTCAATTTCTTAATATCAATTACTTTAAATTCAAACACTATTTTCACACTTATTTTAATAAAATCTGTACAACTTAATAATTTTTATTTTTCATACACACGAAATTGTTCCAGTTATGATCATAATAATTATTCCGCTGTTGTTCCGCGGATAGGCATCGTTTTGACAGTCTTAAAACTTTTCCATTGAATAACCTATCATTGCCTGATAAATAAATATTCTGATCTCTATCAAGAAACGGTAGAGAGAATAGAGGACACATAGTGGATAAATTTATGATTTGTGTTTTTGTCATCATTACATGATAATTCCAAAGTATTATTATTTTATCTCGGGATGTCGGACAATTTTGCCCAAATAGACCTGGTACTTTCCCATATACATCACATAAGCATATCTTTAGTGCTAAGGTAAATGAGCTATCTTGAAAAATGAATAAGAGAAAGATTAATGCACGTATTGCGTGCAAATTTGGCACGAATGTTCGAAAGCGGAAACTTATTTATGATTAGAAAAGAATAATTATTGGAAGAGTGGACCTAATATATATCACCTCTATTTGCATGAAATATATTCCAAGAGTTAATTTAAATTAACTGTTAATTTACAACCATGCAACATGCACGGCGCTTTGCTAAAAATACAGTTAATACTCTATAGGTCTCTCATATTGAGGCAAGTACGCGCAAGTTTTGCGAAAATGTTCTGCGTCAAATCGAGTATATTGATAATAATGGAATATTTAGTACGTGCTGTGATGTCACAATAATTATTGATAAACGTCATACTTAATTATTTTCTACGTCACCTCATTGATATTTCTCAAAAAATATTGCGATATTCGGAAAATACGCTATTCGGATATGGAAATATGATTGTACCTAATTATCAATTCGAGTTAAATTAGTCGTTTGGGATTTCTATTATTCCAAACGTTTATTAACTTCCGAACATCTTAGAAATTTCATGCATACTTAACTGTATCATTGAAATAGGATATTGGAAAAATCATTGGTGTTGTGTATTTCAATTTAGTTTAATTTTCATGGCTTATATAGCCCAATATACTATTAATATACTTTTTTGTTATTTTGCATTATTTTCATACAGAAATGCTGTTTTTAATCATTGCTGCTACAATATTACTGGCAAGAGCTGGAAATGTACACGATATCCAGAAGTAAGTGCAAAATAAGGCGTTTATGAATTTTTCGTTATTTTAACTTTTTAAAGTGACGGTTCCCAATGTTGCCGGTACTGGCATTTGAGTTAATATACAACTTTGCTCTTATGGAAGAGTTACATATTTTGTAGTAGTTAAGGATACCGTTACCCTTTGCAAAAAATAATTACAAAAGTACTATTATATATGGGTAATTCCAAATAACGGCATGCAAAACGGCTGTGGTTTGTCGTAGGCTACCTTTTTACTGGTGGGCCCCCCTTCAGAAAGTTCACAAGAAGGGGGCATGCCGTTTGCTTAACCTTTGAATTAGCGTTACGAGAACACATGCAAATGGTTATTCTAGCCCTAACTTCTAATGAATCGTAAAGTCGGAACTATCGGATAAACCAAATTGCTATACAACACTCGCGTATAACTAAGGCTATCATGAAACATTCATTCATGCAATTTCTACTTCTAGACGCGCCACAAAAGCTGAAGAAGAGCAAGCTCGCGTACAAACATATCAACTGCGTTTACAAAACACAATCGCAGCAAAATATAACAAGAGTGAACTCACAAAGATGAGATCAGATCCTCTTCAATGTTATTCATGTCAAGATGCAAAGACGAACGAAGAATGCAATGCTGGAGGAATGGTGACTTGTCTTCCAACACAAACTTCTTGTCAAACCGAGATCAGAATATTTAATCCAACTGATAGCGTCAGTGTCAGAATAAAGAAGGTGAGCCTATTCAGCTTACATCGGCATATTATTCATTGCGCAAGCAATCAAAAAACTTTACCGGCACTTCGCGTCTGAAAGTTAAGCTGGGTATCAGCGTAAATTTTAATTACTCTGAATATATGGAAAGGCGTGCCCGATTTAATGTACGAGAGTACCGTACCTAAATGTGGGAATATTCATATAACACAGAAATGAATGAGGTATTTAGTAATTACACGACTAATATAACTAAAACATGGCTGAAACAGCTACTGGTGTCCTGCCATTTCAGGGTACGTGGCACGGCGCTTAGTAGAATAGCGTGGCAGCAAATTTCCAATGCATGACAAAACAACCTTGCCGTCACAGCACTGATTTTATTATGATTCAGATATTTATTTCGTCATGCAATAATCAATATGAGGCAAAAGAAAAATACAGTAAATTGAAAAAACGAAAAACATTGATTCATTGCAATTGACGCGGGGTCGCGAATAGACTCAATGAGTCATCTAGTCAGCGACACCTTGGTGCTGTATTAAAGCAGCAAATATAGCAATGAAGCATATTGAATGAATATTTTCCTAGGTTGATATTTAATTCAATCTTGAATAATGGTTCTTAACTGCAGCGAACACATTGGATATTTGCCAACCGTGGTAATTCATAGTCCTTGTGTATGGTGATTTGCCCCTTGACTGGCCGACAAGACTGAAACCTAACCCTTATCTTCTAATCTAATCATGTATTAATTTCAGGGCTGCAAGCAAGATCGCGCTTGTCACAACAACTTCTTACAAAACGACCGTAAAGCTTGGCCTTCAACACAGTGTAAGACGATACCAAGAACTTCTTTATCAGTATGTAGATACTGCTGCACCGACCCTGGATGTAACAAAGCATTGCCTGGTAAGATTATATCTATACCGTTGCATCGTTCATTCATTTATGTGTTACAAAGCCAGGCAAAATGGCGATAGGATAAGTTTGTCATATTTATTTAACCCGGTAAAGGGAAAAGAAACTTTCTGACATTACCGCAGTCTATTGAACAATCGTGTCTATATATATATTTAGGCATATATATTCAGTAAATTTTTTTTTGTGAGGATAATTCAAAAAGATTGTATCAAAACAAGGCAGAAGACCTGTCACTTTTGCAAAAATTACAACGTTTTCGTAAATTTTATTTGATATGACAAACAATAAAGCTCTTAATTCTAGCTGAGCATGTAGAAAATTATATAAATATTTTTCTCGGACAATCAAAGAAAAACACTAGATAATATCTTCCTTGTTACGTCATAGGGCAAGTATAGCGATCACGTTCTCTGTGGTCAATGTTTATATTTACGAACTTTGGAATTTTAAGTAAACTCGATTTTCAACACATTGTTCAAAATTGGAAGTTCTTTGGAATAAGGCAGTTATTGTATATATATGCTACTGTAGGCTATCTAGTAAAATACCAGCACATAATTACTGAAAAATGTTACAGACGTTTTTGGTATATGCCAATAGTGCGCGCGTGGGCGAGATTATAAGATTATTTTGGCCAGTTTGATGCACAATCTCGAGCGATTTTTCAGTTAATTTTCCTGTTGCCAGGAGCCCGGTGGTCAATTTCCTACTTGCACTTTTTTGTATAAATCGTCATACTTCATTTTACATTCTGCCAGCGGTCAAATTATGTGGGAATGCGTAAATAATACCAAATAGTCACTAGGATGATTCGATAATTCCAAGTTCGTTATCGACGACAAACAACATGACGTGACCGCCATCCCGTCAATAAGTTAACGTGGGAGTGTGCGAATAAATCTCAAAAGTAATTAAACACATAGAAAAGTAATCGACGCCTCGATGCCTTAGCCTAAAAAAAAGATTCTGAATATTTGAAGCCTTCATTTTAACTATAGCCATTTTTATATAACCATTCGTCGTTGACTGATTAGGTGTCAATTTTTGATAAAGTTGGTTGTTAAACTTCAATCATTTATTGTGCTATTCGGTCGAATAATTTCGGACTTGGGCGTAAAATAGGACCAGCGCTTTCGCTAATATTACTGAAATTTATGTCCTTAGTCGTAAGACAATCTTTAAGAACAAATATCCACGAATAATTTTTGCTCATTTCCAATTAGTTGGCCAGTCGACGTCGACTGAAAATTAACTCACTACTGTTTGAAACTCCAAATCCATGCCACGAATATGTGTCTCAATGTAAATAATTGTGTGCTACCTCACGAGAAAAATGTACATATCCCGAAAAGGTTGTGATCCATCATAACGATATATATGATCATTTACTACTAGAAATCCAATCCAATCTTGATGAATTTTCTGAGTAAATTTATTTCGATTAGATTTTCGGTTGCTAAATTTACAGGTCTGTTTTCAAAATAGCTCACACGATTATGCCAAATATTCTTCCCGACTGATCTACGGTCTGCCAGGAGATGAGTTTAAATATAGTGGCGTTTTGCCAAGCAAAATTTACCATTGAATGGCTGCTGACACTTTGTGATGTGAATGGTAATACTCAAAAATGCAACAACCTGCTTTAACTCTAATTGAAGTGTCTCAGTGTTCTTGAAAGTACTATAGAGTAACATGATTCTTTGCGACATGCCAATATCTTCGACTATGCGTTGGCAAAAATCAGTAAATGAAAAAATAAAATTTGAATCTATTGCACTTTTTACATCTTTTTTTTAGCAATATTGATTGTTTTATATTTCAAATTCCCCAAATCCATATTTGATATTCTGTAAATATATGAGACAAATTATTCATATATCGATTATTCATAGGACCCAGTACGTTCACGAAAAATATGAAAGCCAATCTTTTAATGAGCGATATAATAAATGATCTGATAGAATCTATCATATTGTCTCGTTAGTTCGACGTTCTGCATTTAGAATAGTTCACCTGTTATAATAATCTGTCGTAGTATTTATTTATTTATGTAACACCTTTAAATGGTAAGGTCTGATGCACTTATTTTGAACATACTAGGAAGAACAGCATTGTAGTTAATATGTCTTACATTAGAATTTGTCAACGTTATGCTTTGAATACCCAAAGACCAAGCATGAACAGTAATTAAATCACGATCTTTCTTCTACCTATACTTACTTCTGATTTAAATAGAGTTAAAGTTACTAGAAAATGTAAATAAAATTCTCTGATTGTTTTCTAAAGTGTCATATAGAATATACTTTAATACTAAGTGGTAAAACTTATTTATTGAATTTGGGATAGACATGTACTTTTCTTTGAAAATTATAATTTAGAAATTCTGGGAAGTTAATTGAAATAATTTCTGGCAACTATATTAGTCATTTCTTAATTTGGTAAAATCAGAAATTAACAACTTTTCAAATATATTCTAGCTCATGTATGCGGACCGATATCTCCTCCCGAGAATGGGCACGTGTCTTGTTCAACTTCAAAAGTTCAATCTTCAGTTTGTACTTTCACGTGTGATCCGTGTCATAACCTGGTTGGATCCAGAGTTCGAATGTGCTTAGAAGACTCTGCTTGGTCAGGAACGGAAACGAAATGTGTTTATGGTGAGTTTTGTGTTTCAATTTCAACTTTTTAGTGAATAATTTCAGTTATTCGGAATTCATTTTGATCACATTTATTATGACTACTTCAAGTTTGTCGTTAATGATCTATATTTACCTTGAAGCAGAGCTTAATTCTGTATGACTTTAGTATTTTTACTTATAAAAATCAAAAAATTCCAAAAGTGACTTTGAGAAAAATATTTTTTGAATATAAAACATATTTAATCTTGAATACTTCTTTCTGATATAAAGATGATAATAAGGTGTTAACATTAAAGAAACATTCTCAAATGACCATTTCTGCAGCCAAAATTGTGAAACTGGGTCTTAAGATTTTAATACAGAAATTGTGATTTTCTGGAATTCACAGAGAAATGCATAGAAATACAAAGAACAAAATTACAAATTACTTGAAAATATCGTACAAAACCACAACACCTTTCTAGATTTGCGTATTTTGCTTATAAGCGGGTATGATAACATACAAATTGAAACATAATGCCAAATTATAGGTTCTGTTATTCGCGATTCAGATAATCATCTCAGTATGTCTTTCATGAACTCTTGTAGAGATCCGAGAAACGATAAATACAAAATTGATGCAAACTATTCGTCTGACGTTATAGACACACAATATGATATCTGTTTGTGAATACATTGCATTGATTTTGAAATCAATTTAAATTTCTAGAAATTGCATTTTATTTGTACGTCATAATCCGACAAGAAAAAAACAAATATCCGGTTCAATGCATGTATATCCGTGGTGTGTGGTCACTCACAGGCTCCAAGTTGGCGACTCTAGATCAATTATTATTTTTGTATTTGGGTGCAAATTCCCATTTATTTCTAGAAAAATGCAGGTTTCAATTTTGAGCTGATGTTGCCGAAATTTTGAAACTTTCGAATTATCGATTTAACTCAAATATTGAGCCTTTTACAGCGCAATTTTGTTTAACTGGACTTTAGAGTCAGTCACTCGATTTTATCCAACCAATAGTACCCGAAGAAATTTAAAAATGTGCTTTTCTCTTCTTATGGCTATGGTGTTTAGGGTTAGGCAAAATTTACGAACCAAGATGACAGAGTCGCGTAAAAGTATCACCATTATTACATTCTTTTGTCGAAGATATCGCGACTCGGATTTCAATATGCTTGTCGCTGTCTGCGCTGACGTATCAAATCTTCGTAACTTAATATCGAACATAACCTAATACTGTTATTTATTCAATATGGATAATCGTGATCCCCTTTATGAAGGTTTTACTGAGTAGGGTTTAAGCCTGCTTAACCTAGAGAGATCGAAAGAAAAATAAGTAATTGCAGCTAAAATTTCCTGTATTAACGCGATGGCGGCAATTGCATTAAATCGGTAAAATTTTATCATTACTTGAATTAGAACAAAAAAAAATTGAGTTTTTTTGTCTATGTGACTTGTTGTTCAAACATATAAATGATTTCATACCGTGATATCATAATAAAAAGTCAAAAACATGAAAATGAGACGAAATAATAATCCCTTTTAGGCAAAATCAAGTTATCACTACAAGGGTAACTAAACAAACATGGGTAGACGTTTCTTTTGCATCAAAATAACCAAAATTTCCATTTTCCCATCTTCTTCAGATAACTCGCTTCCTGGTTGCGCCGTGGGTACAACATGTCCAGCAAAATCTATCTTGTCTCCGGACAATGGAAACGTTGAATGTTCGAACTCTAACAAATTTGGATCTGAATGTCGATTCATATGTGATAGAGGATACATGATCAACGGAAAACGTGTTTTAAGATGCAATGAGAATACAAGAGATTGGGACGCAGTGAGACCCATCTGTGTTAGAGGTGAGACACGCCTTTTTTGTGAATGTTTCCCTATCGTGAACTTGATAGATGACCAAATATCGATCATCAACTTTATTGGACGCGGATTGATTTGCTAAATGTTGTTATTGGGCTGGTTGTTGTTATTGTTGTAGAAATTCGCTCTTCTCGTCAATTGTTGGAACAATTTTGAATTTTTAGGACTAGAAAATACATTTTTCTCAGTTGAGCCCGATGTTTCACCCTAAATTATGTTGTTTTTTATAATTCACGAAAACAATTTATAATTTAGCACTGCTCGCTTGTTTATTAAAATGCTAAATATTGTTTAATTTAAGGTGATGATACTTCCAATCCTTGCAACGTTTTCGCCGTTTTTGATTTTGCTTCCGATGGAAAACTTGAATGTGAATGCAGTACTGGATTTCGAGGTAAGTTTGAGCCTATATTGGCACGATCAATTTTTCTAATCCAAGTTTTCCCAGCTGGAGATAAACATCGACAAATCTTATCCTGATTTCTATTCCTATTGTTCAAATTAACAGTTTTTTCAACTTGCGCACGGACAATGCGATATTTAGTCGACTCTACTTTCAATTTTAACGGTCATTTTGCCGGTAGATCTGGCGCATTACTGAAATCTGGAACCGACACCATATATCTATATCGCCCTCTATATTTTTTTTGCAATATTCACCAATTGTTCAATACTTATCATTTTAGGTGATGGTTACATTTCCTGCGAAGACGTAAACGAATGTCAAGAAGGATCCCACGTTTGCGATTCAAACGCAATTTGCATCAATACATTGGGATCTTACAGGTAACTTCGTTTTGTTTTTTCTTCAGAAAGTTTTCTCGAAAAAAAAAATCACTTACTGACTGGTGCACTTACTCACAAGTATATTGTACTCGTCTATGAGCGAAGTTATGGCGACCAATGGAGCGCCTGGGAATAACTATATATATAGAATTATGGGGATACATGTCGCGTTAGTAAGTAGTGACTGACTCAAGATTTTATATAATTTAATTAAGTCAATTTTATCAGGACAGAAATCTAAAGAATCGAAGTTCATTGAAAAAAACTTTTGTTGTAAAAGCTTTTTCGCTTGGTAGGTAGACTGGCAGTGAACGTGTGAGAGATCCAGCCCAGCACGACATCTGAAAACGTTTCTGAAGAATTATCCATTCCGAAGTTTCTTCCAAATTATCATATATACTTTTCCAGATGCAAATGCAAAGTTGGTTACGTCGGAAACGGGCGGGAATGCCGTGACATTAACGAGTGTACGTCATCAGAAAACGATTGTGACGTGGAAAATGGACTTTGCATTAACATCGATGGCGGATATACATGCACATGCAAGCCAGAATACACGGGAGATGGCGTGAATTGCTCAAGTACGTTAATATATTGATTAAATTCAATGTAACTCAAATATATATATTCTAAACTTGGGCTCGGCGGTTGGCACATAGTGCTAAGCTTTCGGAATACGCTTGCCATCGCACCTCTGATTAATCTGCGCGGGCTCGCAGGTTCGAATCCCGTGAGGGTAATTATAACACTGGCAAACGATTCTCATACCCGACATGGACTGGCAACCGGGTGAGAGTTTGTGATTTGACATATAATTTAGCCGCGTTATCGACTTTGCTCTTCCCAGGGATGATTATGAAAATCCTATCCTAAAATATTGTAAACTAAACGCATTGCTATATTACAGGAGTGAACCTGTCCTGTCCTGGAGGGCTAGTCGATGATCTTTGCTTACCCGATGAACCAGCACATGGCGAAGATCCGACAAAACCAGTTGAGTTAATGGAGGAAGAACCGCCTACTGATAAGCAACTCTTTTCTGATGGTTTCTCTTCTCTTGCTAAAGTTGATAGTTGCGTAAGATTGACTGAACATAGACCTTCGATGGTGCGAGATCCAAACACTTATGAAAACATGAACAAAAAATTACTGGTATGGAATTTAGTTCATTTTATTATTTTTTGTTTTACAACTAATTTTAAAACTGTCTAATTTTTACGGACTCCAAAGAAAAGGGAATGTCTGCTTTTTAAACTTTTGACACCACTATTTAGTTTCATAAAATTACCAGATTAGAACAGCACATAACGGTTATGAAACATGATGATTCGATGCAATATAATTTATTTGCCAAAAATTGTTATTCGATAATTTAAACTTTTTACTTCGCACTATTTACATCTCGTGACTCGTATTAAAAGTTTTAAAATGTCTTTCGACTTTACGTAATTCTTAAAACGTATTTCAACAATAACTTGACGATTTATTGTGCTGTCTATAACCTATTTGCATAGTGACACACATTTATTTGGCCACTAAGTTAAGTATTTTATGCCTGCTACAGAAATTGACATAAGTAAAATACGCCTAATTTTCGTCCGAAATTACGGAGCATCCGAAGTTAGACGCATTGATTTAAGTTCAATAAGTTGTCGGTTTAAAAATCTCGTCCGAAGTTGGTATCTTTTACTCAAATTGCGCACTTTATATTTATTATTTTCTATTTTTACAGAATAAATTGATGTCATATTCCAACAGTAGTCGAATAGTATTCGGTCCATGGATAGGATTAGACGATAGAATTGAAAGCGGAGTACTGAGATGGAGAGACGGTAAACCGCTTGACCGAAAGGACTTTCAAGTGTGGGCTCCCGGTCAACCAAAACTATTGGAAGATGGAGGTAAGAAATATGATTACAAAATTCAGCTTTCGATCGCTTTGCATATTTGTTGTTATTGTTTTAGTTGCTAAAATCCGCTTTTTCAGCAAATTATAGACGAATTGATTTTAAATTATTTGAAGACGGAAGAGGTCGCCTGAAGGCTATTACTTTTTTTAATTTTTTGCCGGAAACTTCAATTCCGTGTTCCACGGATCCTGATATTTTTCCCAAAATTTTGCTATTTTATACCAATTCATATGAACATTTCTTACAATAATCATGCCTTTTTCAGGTTTGGGAAATTGTGTGAACCTTATATCCGATCCTGTTTCCAGTCATACAACAAGCTTCTTATGGCAAGTCACGTTGTGCAGCAGTGCAACTCGATATGTATGTGACACTGAGCGAAGTGATGGTAAGATAATATTTTTTTCGTGTCTTGAGAATAAAGGGTGGAATAACATTAAAATTGAGTCAAGGAAGCTAATACAAGCAATATTTGAAATCTTCAGCTATTCGAGGAAAAAAATTAAAAAATAATGGTCCCTAAAAACGTTCCATTTATGTAGCTAATAATACAGAGCGTCAAAAAAGTAAATTCTATATTTTACACAGAACCAATTGTTTCTCTCTGCATCCCTCTTGTGGATCCAACACACGGCAAAGTCTCCTGCTCAAATGGTTGGAGAATCAACTCAGTATGCTCGTATTCTTGCGACCCTGGTTATATTCTCCGAGGCCCGAGCAGTAGAATTACTTGCCAATCTAAAAATATGATGTGGGATAACGAGCCGCCAGTGTGTGTCCGTGAGTAGACGTTTATTATTGAACACTAACTGTACATATGGATCGTTGGTATTGTGGGTCTTGTGGCTACTTTTGTTGTACACAAAGTGCTTTTCTCTTTAACCAAAGGACCAATCGATTTGAAACAAAAGCTTCAAGAACTAGACATTTCACCACAAGTTTCGCTAGTTTTTCGCATATTGCGCAATCTTTTTGGCGAACCCGATTCACATGTATGACATTACCGGATCTCTTGAATTGTTACGGTTGTGGCCAGTGGCGTAGCATCCACCCCCGCAACCCCCGCGGTCGCCTTCGGGGTGGGGGTGGCACAGCGCAAAGGGGCCCAAGCGGTTAGAATTTAGAAATTTAAGCCGCAAAACCAAACGTTGCATTGCAAAACCAGTAATGCACATCTCATAACGTTGATGTTAGTTCTGCTCAAATCGTTTTGTTACGTAACAATGCTAGGGAGTCGTCGATTTTCGGCGTCTTGTGGTTTGATCGCACCGGCAAAATTACGAAGGCTGTCAGAATGATGTCGAAAGCAAAACCTCTCAGTGGCGCACAGAAACGCAGAAGAGAAAGCACGTATGAAAAAATTAAAGAAACCAAAATAAACGGCAAATTTTAGGTTACCATTGTCTTTTAATAGCGACATGTTATGCTTTTTGACGAAACAAAAAAAAAACTCTGTTTTTGCTCATGTCAGAGTGTTTTTAAGGTCATTTCCACAACATATTTTTGCGGGGGGCCCACGAGAGTCTTGCTACGCCACTGGTTGTAGCACTTGATTTATGACTTTGATTTGAAGTTTTTGAATATCCAGATAATCGACTTCTATACATAGGCTACTTTTGTACTCCTATTTGCTATTTGACCTTCTTGCGCACATATTAGAACATTACTCGCACCATTGAACTATGAACGCAATAAAATCAATCATCATAACGCATTTATCACTAGTTAAATAAACAAAATCGGTTCTACATATATTAATATATATATTATTCTCATGTACAGGTGCTATTTGCGACCGACCATTGATGCCTCCTAATTCTGGACGAATGGAATGTACAGATGAAAACAGGGAATTCTCAGTTTGTAGATTCACATGTAAACCCGGTTATACGTTACATGGTAATTCAACCGTGACTTGTCAAAGAAATTTGAAATGGAGTTCTCAGAGGCCTTGTTGCCGAGGTAAGCTCACTGGCGAATTTGTGTCAAATATATATATAACAAGTTGTTTAGTAAGATGATTGATTATGATTAATTTTTATTCATATATATTGTGTTTTATATTTCAGATGATTGTCCACCATACGCAAGAATGAATTTGATTATGGTATTGGATAGTTCAAGGAGTATAAATGCGGAGAATTTTGAATTGATCAAAACATTTGCAAAAAGAGTAAGTAGAAAATTACTTTTGTTTTTTGCATTTGTTAGACTAAATTGAACGATAAACATATATCGTTGCAGTATATGAGGATTCGGTCCGCAAGGTAACACGAGCTCAGTCAGAGATATCGAGAACTCACCCCGGGGGATATTCACAGTCGTCCATCGCTAAGCTATAAACTATATCTAACTCCACACGCCAAGGATGAAATAGCATTCTCCGACCTGTATGGATCACGGAATAGGGGGCATTACGGTAAAAAAGTCAATTACTAGATTGTTCCATTTGTGGTCTGATTGTATTCATCCTTTTTTCAGCTTCATAGAAGGTTTGAAGTTTCCGAAGATTTTACTCACGTATCAGTCATATCATACAGCAGCAGAGTTGAATTACTGAACAACAAAACTGTTTTTAAATCAAGCGATGAACTCGACTCAGCTTTAGATAATCTTGCCTACGAGGGAGCCGGAACTCTGATAGGTAAGTTTAATTTGCGATTAGGCTTTGAGAGCAAAGTGGCAGTGTTGGTTATAAGTCTCTAAACCAGCACCGAGCCGTGAGTCCACGGGGAATCCGAGTCAGTCTAGAGTCGAGTACACTCTTTGTGATTGACTCGACTTGAGACTTCGATGACTCGTGACTCGATTTGAATCTCGACTCGAAGTTTAAAGAAATGTACCCAACAGTTCGTCACCGCAATGTCATCAAAATTTCAACAAATTTTTAAATTGTACCGAATGTCATATGTGAAGTTAAAAGAGTTGTAGCGAATGTCATATGCAGGTGTGCATATTGATTAATAAATATTCATTAATTAAAATAACCGTCATAATCTGATGAAGAATATCGCGCCTGATTCAAAAATATGTTAAAAAGGATAAAAATAATAGCCTTCTAAAATCTTCTTTCACTCACAAATACTGAAATGTAAAAAAAATTCACAGCTTCATTACGTGTCCAAAAACTACAGAAATCACAGACAATATTTTTGTTTCTACAGGTAGAGCAATAACCTACGTCACAGACAACCTGGCAGGCAAAAGACCAGGCAGTGGAGATATTGTTGTCGTACTCACAGATGGTATTTCACATGATGACGTTTATTTTCCTTGTAAGTATTTTTTTCATACTTTGTTAATGCATGGGTTCGTAAGTTCGAACAACGTGCGAGGTTAGTTATGTGCAAGAGGATTTCTGGATTCCTCGCCGCCGTAGGGTGGTTCACGTAACCGCTGGTCGGTTACGGCAAAGCTTCCTTTCCATCAATGCTTCCGAAAACAAATAATTGGCTAAATAATCCCATACTTGACATGGACTGGTAACCGGTCAAGAGGCCATGGTTCGCTATAAGTTATGACTGAGCCGCCCTATTGGCTTTTCTATCCCCGGGATAAATATGTAAATACTGTCCCATAAGCCAAATTTCATTAGATCCAATAAAAGAGCAAAAGTTGGTTCTATGGCTGTCTGTACAAATCGTTGCTTGGAGTGTAGTATCGGCGCTTGAAAACAATAATTAGTTGTGTCTCCGTCGTAAGCGAATATTAAGTTTTAGCTCAACAGGTATACTCGTGGTAACAATTTCTAAATTTTATTTTCTTATTACTTTTATTTCAGCTAAAACTCTCCAAGAGACAGGAGCTCATATCATAGCTGTTGGTGTTCGACATGCATGGAGATACCAATTACAAATGATTGCGTCAGAGCCTACTGACGTCAACGTCGTTGAAGTTGAAACATATAATGACCTAAATCATATTGTTAACGTAATAGGCGAAAAAGTTTGCCATTTATCATGCTGATTATCATATTTTAGTAAGTTTGCGATAACTTCATAAAATTCAAGACAGATTAGACTTACCTCCTTTCTATTATCCTAGCGAGAACGTAAATTCCAGCGCCAAAAGGTATTGTGACGTAATATTTCACATTTTTGATGTTACATTTTTGGATTAAACAACTCGTTTTGTCACGCTGGACTGCGAAACACCAATAATCTAAGTACAATACGTACTTAATTTTACAGGAGCTCTGTTACCCAGCATTTTGACGGTCATATCTGAGAAATTGGTGGACTTATTTCAGAAAATGTAAATTTTACTAAAATGCCCAAAACTGAAAAGTGGCAAATGCATAATGACAAATTTGAAAATTAGGAAATGCTTACACTTTTATCCCTTATTTGCAACGTATCAAAATGAACTGTTCCAAGCTTTACGAAAATTATTGTAATATTCTTTTAATTTTCTTGTAAAAAGTTATATTTCTATACTTCTTTTATATTTTATATAATTTATTTTGAACATTCCCATTTTATCAGTACATTACTGACATTGTGTATACTGCCGCCATTATTTTTCTTATTTCAAAGACATTCTCGCCTAAGCCCAAAATATCGCCATTAACCTTGGCTGAGAAATGCTGGCGCTCCAGTAGTGTGTGTACCAATATGGAGGTAACTAATTTTCTTTGCAAACTTTACATCAAGTCGTGTAAAGAGACTGAAACCTATGGACAGGGGGTATATTCACTTGGCTAACACAAAAAGTCTCCGAACTCTTAATAGAACTAATATACGCAAAATCAGAATACAATTATGGCCTAACTCTAATCTGGTACACACACTACGGGAGTACCGAAATATTTGCTGTTTTTACTTTAGATCTATTTTCCCCTTTATGAGGATTATTTGCCATTGGTTCAAGTAATATGGTCGATTTTTCAAATTTTACTTTTATTGAAATCATATTTTTCGCCTCAAACAAGCACCGTATTGTTTCTTTCTCGTTTTTAATACAATAAAAATCTTCCGATACATTTTGTTTTACTCACAAGAAAAAAAAACGAGAATATCGGTCAGAGACCGAGGACTTATCGATCGAAGGTTAGGGTATCCGCCAAAACAGCGCTCCTATACAACCTGAACATAGTATGTTTACCCGGTTAGGGTTAAGGTTGTGCGTCATCTTGGTGCACATACTTCTGGAGTTCCAAATATCTTCCTCGAATCAAGGCCTGATATTTTAGTGATTACTTAGTGTCAGATATCGTTAAAACTGCAGTAATCGTCGCAATTGCGTGATGAAAGTAGGACGTGGTATTTAACATAACCGATCAAGGATAAATCATGAGGAAAAGTGTGTGTAAACATTGATGGTATTCCCAAAATTATACTTTAAATTTAAAAAATCCTGAAAATATACTAGAATTTAAGAGTATATAAATCGACTTCAGGATTGCGGAGGTTGGTGAAACGGTACTCCCGAAGTATGTGAAGCAAGGACGCCGGAATGTAGATATGTACCGGGTTAGGGTTAGGGCATAATTTTATTCCAATTTTCCCTATTTTAGTTCTATTACGAGTTCGGGAACTAGCCAAGTGACCCCCGTAGTATTTTTACCTGAAATTATGGCCTAACCCTTGGTACACATACTACGTTCCGGTGTCCGCTATATTGGTTCACATACTTCGGGAGTACCGGTGAAACTGCAGCCGAAGTTGCCTAGAATCCTAGATAAGTGGATCCCAATCTTTCTACCCTAGAGGACTGGTAAAATTATATAAAATGTACTCGCGGTCAGGCAAAAAAATCTACATGGCGGACCAGTGAAATTATACAAAATGTACTCGCGGACCGGACCAAATCATGTACAAAACAATTAACTCCAGTGAGAATTTTGCTGCTGTTTCGTTTCCAATATAGGATTGAAAACGAAGCTACAAAGAAATTTCTGCAACACGTAGCTCTGCAGCGGTGTCCATTGATTTCTTAGCTTCGTTTTAAATAAAGCTAATCACAAAAAAAAGTTTTTCGCATGAGTAACTGGGTGAAAAGACGGACAACAGGTTGAATGCTCGATTACTCAGCGATGGGTATTCATTATCAAGATATATCCAGAATTGTGACAGTGATTCTTTTTTAAATCTGGATTGTAAAGTAGAATCACAACTTTAATCAAGCTTTATTATTTTCATCGGGTTTATCGGGTTCATCATATTAGTCCCTCTGCAGTTGATCGACCGCCTCAAACAAAATTATTTTACATTAAAATGACCGTAGTCGGTAACTTGGCACCAGGCTTAAAATCCTGCTGTGCACTACCTGGACAATATCTCTGTTGCGCGTATCGTTACCACCTGCAGGGTGGCCGAAATAAAAAAGCGAAATATGGAATTGCTTTTGGAACCAAGACCGGTCCGCGGACCAGCGGTTGATAACCACTCGCCTAGATGACTTTTTGCGCGAGATTGCAATATTCTGAAAATTCTACATTGTGGTTCGGTACACCCCGGGGTTGGCGAGCACTGGGATATATACAAATTCTCCGCTTGACTACTATAGCAATACCACTCGGTGTTTTACCTGTACATTACGACAAGCAACGTTCATGTGGCCAACATTTTATACGTTTCCATCAGTTATTTTGGACACAACATTCAATATAAAAAAATTACGCACGAATGAAAACGAATACATGCATTACCGATAAGAATTGGACGAATATCAATCAATTTACTATAAATTAATAAATGACGCCCAGTAAGGGCATTTGCTTGTAATTCCCAGAGAACCGTTACGTATCTTCACAAGAAACTGAGGCTCTGTACGAGTATTTGGCCACTCACCTCTGTGGTGAAAATTGAGGAAACCCACGTGGTACCAAAAAAACATTTGGTAAAATTTGTTCAGGTAGGAAAAATATTACCCAACAGCAGAATGCGGCTTCCATAGGCTTCCTCCGCCATCAAGTCTATGCTTCCGAAAGCAAATAACTAACTGATCCCATCCAGACATAGAATAGTGACCGGACGAGAGACCGTGGTTCGCCATATGGTTGAGCCATCTTATCGGCTTTCCTTTCCCCTGGGATAAATATGTAAATCCTACTCTATTCTATTAAAATCGTCCATGTATAATAATAGTTTTCCACTAACGGCAGCTTTGTGATTTTCCCTCGTATTTGCTGATTCCTAAGTACGGTTGACTTTAATATTTTAAGTCTGTATTGAATAACACCTTTTACAAAGACAAATCTAAATCTCAGTGTGTCAGTAGTCGATTGCAATTCTCCTAACGATGCTTTTTCTACTACGCTGTTTAAGGCTGGTTTCGGCTACCATTAAATGAGTTATAAATAAAACAAAGCTGAGATCATCAGTACGAAACAGCGAGTGTACAATACGATAAATACGTAGGATAGTGTGGGTGAGAACTGGCCCACGTTTGGTAATCAAATGATCACACTTTTAACAATTCCTCGATCATTGCGGAAAGCAGATATATAATCCTCACCACATTTTCATCGGACGAATAAAATTTGAAAATATGGTTTTTTGAAATATATAGACCCCCTCCTATTTTTAATTTCAAGTTTACTCACTCAGCTTGAAGAATATTGACCTGGGTTCATAATACACATTGCAGGGATTGCAAATGTTTTTGCACATACTAAGTGATTTTCCGGCGAGATATTCCCTAAATTATTGTGAACTTTTCCTAAGCTCATTTCCTCTTCCAAGAGACGCATATACATAACTGCATGACATAAGGTTCCATAGCTGAACATTACCCGACATTTACTGGTAACCGGAAGATAGGCCATGGTTTGCCATATAATAAGGCTGTCTTATCGGCTCTCTTCTATCCGAAATAAATATGTGAATCTGTATTCTGAGATAACAAAGACCTTATTCCGATATTCGTAATCCGCGACTTGTCGTTGGAGAGCCACAATAAAATGGTGATAGGAGTCCAAAATTTCTTATTTATTTTTATCATAATAACATGCAAAAATATAAGATTCTTTTTACTTGAATATTATTCATTTTTCAAATAGTCAAATTTATGTATCAATTGACTTGTAATTTTAAAGTAATTTTTCTTTCACGACTGCCATGTTTCCAATGTTTCGTGACCTTGCGTAACTCATACCACAACAGTTACAACAAAATGAAAATCGCGTGTCCCGTATTGATGCATTAGCGATAGTCAGTGGATAGCGATAGTAGTTGTGTTTTCGTATTCCGCCAGAAATGCGTTTTGTTCCATTTTTTATTAGAATTGGAGGAAAATACTATTGTCAGTAGCTCATCACTGTTTGACCTGTCTGTATAGGCAAAATGCCGCATACTATGAATATCGATGGACATTCGCCCAGGCCAGAAAATATTGGCATTGTAGCCGTTGAAATATATTTCCCATCGAGTTACGTTGACCAAGCAAAACTTGAGGAATATGACGAAGTTTCAGCTGGGAAGTATACAAAGGGTCTTGGACAATTACAAATGGGATTTTGCTCGGATAATGAAGATATCAATTCTTTGTGTTTGACTGTTCTTGCAAATTTAATGGAAAAACATGGAATATCTTACAGTGAAATTGGTAAATGAATTTTAAACTCGAATTTTCTTCAAAAAAGATTTACTTGAAGTTGTGTTTGAAAATTATTTATTGTGCATTCAGGGCTTCAGTAAATGCAATTATGCCATATGCTGGTAGGCTACTGCCATTGCTAACTCAGGAAATCTAGAAATCATTTAACTGAGCATTAAGAACTCTATTGTCCTCGCATATCTGAATGTCCAGATTCGCAGTTGCCTGCGCTATCGTATATTCTCTTGAATTTCAGATTGTTTAGTCTTCCAATCATTATTTCGAATTAGAAAATAGTTCACTTAATCTTAAATTACTTAAAAATACAGTACATAGCTACTGGAAATGTCTTTGTTCTGACTGGTTTTCAAATTATTTTATTTCCCAACAATTTATAACAGTTTTGCATAACTAACCAGACTCGATAGGTTCTGAATAAAATATTCTAAATTATTTATTTATACTAAATAATAAGAATATATGAATTATGGCTAATTTTTGTATTTTAATATTCAAACATTTTAGGTCTGACATTTCTGTTAAATCTTAATTATTTTCGAAGGTCGTTTGGAAGTCGGAACAGAAACCATAATTGACAAATCGAAGAGTGTTAAAAGTGCTTTGATGCAGCTGTTTGAGGAATCAGGAAATTTTGATGTTGAAGGAATCGACACCACAAATGCTTGTTATGGAGGAACAAGCGCACTCTTTAATGCCATCCAGTGGATGGAAAGTTCTTCATGGGATGGTAAGTTAATTATTCAGTTTTGAAAATGGTTATTTTCAAGGGATTAAATATGCTAAGAATAATTGGTGTTACTATATCATAGCAGTGGTTTTCCACTTTTTGGTGGAGACCAGAGGGCAACCCCTTAATACTGAAACCTTTCAGTGGTTTGAAGAACCCCTTTATTACCCTCGTTTAATTAAATGTCTTTTATTGCCCGAATTGTATTAAATTATGAATACTGTATATAAAAGCCAACCTGATACTGGCGGAACAAAATTGTCTTTAGAAGTGTTGCAAGTTCAACAATATTGGCTAACCAAATGGGTATTTGATTATATTTGAATATAATCGTACGTTAATTTAGAATATCGTACTATAATGGATACTCACGAATCCATGTACTGTGCTGGCGTAACACTGAGTTGCGGCAAAACATGGTTGAAAACCATGCTGTAGAGTAAAGTTTATCATCATATGTCACCTAAACGCAGCGGTTTTGTTTTTTTCGAGAATTATTTGTTCATTGTTGAAACGTAGCAGTGAACACATGAAGGTCGCAAAAATAATGTTTTCAAATGGGCTACTGCACTCGCAACCTATTTTGTTTCAGCTTCATATCGAAAACTCGATTTCTATCTCAAGCTAGTACTATAGCTTGAGGATTATCGTTAAATTTAATCGACATATTGTGGTAGACTTGTGATATTGTAGCACCGAATAATATCTACCGGTAATTCTTTCAGGATTCAGGACATTAAGCAGTTGTGAAATTGTGTTATGTACAAATTATAAATCTTATTTTTGTTCAGGGCGTTACGCAGTCGTAATATGTGGTGATATAGCAGTGTATAGTGAAGGAAATGCCCGATGCACAGGAGGTGCAGGTGCCATTGCAATGTTAATTGGACCAAATGCTCCATTGGTTTTTGAACCAGGTCAGTGTTTTATTATATATTTCACTGCAGGAAGAGGTTTTGTACTATAATGGAGAATTTATAGTCTAATGTGTCCTACAAATTTATTATGCATTCTTGCATCTACAGTAATAACTGGTTGGCTTCACTCAATATGAATCGGTAACCAACCAAACAAGAGTCATGGTTAGGCTGTCTCATTGGCTTTCATTCCCCCCAGAATGATTATTAATTAAAATACTGGCGGTTTATTTTGTGCAAATCAAATCAGATCAGAGTTTCATTGTCCAAATTTAGTTATCAGTTTTAGCAAAATTGCATTATAGCGAATCATTTATTCTGATATTATAGTAACAGACACTTTCACTTTGTTCCATATTTAGATCACCATTGTATATTTTGGTTCCATTACATTTGAACCCACGTACATTTGAACCCATGACAATTGCACCTGTATGCTATTGCACCTATGGAATTTTTTTTGTTTTTCGGATAGTTAAACCCATACTAACCCTAACCCATGGGTTTTAGCACCCGCATATAGATTGAACCCGTGGATATACGCATGGGTTCAAATGTACATGGGTTCAAATGTACGGTCACCTATATTTTGCTCATTATTATTTGATACTTTTGCTTCAGTGAGTGTAATTATAGCACGACAATTTAAAAAAAAGACTGGCAATCAGCAAATCTTTTGGGCCTGAAGGATTGTTGACATTTATTTCTGTGTTTGGTGATGATTTTAATTGGCAATTAAAATACAAACAATTTAACCAGATTCAATTCTGCTAATTTAATTGGCAATTAAAATACGAACAATTTTAAACTGAAATTTTTTGAGAAAAAACTTTTAGTTAGCACCCTCAACACAGCACTGCGGTTCCAATGAGCTTTTAATGATAAGTGTTTTTTCTCTTTTTGACATCACTGGTCATTACTATTTATTATATTTACTCATTTCCAACTCTGTATTTTCACAGGTCTACGAGCAACATACATGAGGCATGCCTATGATTTTTATAAACCAGATCTGACATCGGAATATCCAGTTGTTGATGGAAAACTTTCTGTTAAAAGTTATATTTCAGCACTTGATAATTGTTATCAAAATTATTGCCGAAAAGCTTCAACCAAATTAAAAACAGGTTTTTTGTTTGATAATCTGATGATAGATGTATTGTTTTATTACTGTTTTATCTATATCGTTTTATATGTTTCGTCAGACCCACGACCCACGTTTTCTAATCTAAGCTAGCAGGGAATTGCAATGGCCATAGACGGAAGGAAAAGACTTTTGTAGATTAAGTTCATAATATTAAAAATTTATTTTATTACTCGAATTAATTCTTGAAATAAAAAAAGCCACAGACAATATATTGAAACTCTTTTAATATCAATACCATGTGATCAGGTAATAGACACTCATCTCGTAAACACCTTGCAATCATTTTGCATTGATAACTAATTGACAATTGTTTTAGACATTTAGCTTTCAGGTTATTGATCTTTAATTACTGTACCAGATTACCATCTGTTTTTTACAGTCATGCAAATGGTATTGATTGGATAGGTGTTGTTAAATCATAAATGGTTTTTAATCATTAATGACTTTGTTTATTGTTTTGTTCTATTGAGTGTCAAGTAAACTTCAAATCATTTTTTGTCTAATGATGATTTATTGATCTATCTCATGATATATGAAGTAATTGCTCTAGGCTGTGTTATTCACAATTCAAAAATGCGTAATCTTGTTTTGAATGTTGGACTTTGTACACCTGCTATCATGATTAATTTAATCATACCAATGACTTCAATAATAGCCTTACTGAGGGCTGAGGCTTAAATGATACATCGTAAGGTATGGCTGCATGGCAGCCCAAAAAACCATTTAGCGACGAGGCCATTTAAATTGGCTATTGGAACTACATAACTCTCATTCCTAACATGCTCGGCAGAGCAGGCCATTTTAGAGGCGATCGGGACCATGTAAACATCTCTACACCTAACTGTCTATATCAGGGTGGTCCAAACCCAGGTCCGCGGGCCACATGTGGCCCGTCGCTACATTATCTGTGGCTTGCGTCGCATTGGCGTGAGAGTGAAAAAAAGCATTTTGCGTTGTTTTGTCATAAAAATAATTTTTTTGCGAGTTTCAGTGGGGTTTTTGCATGTTTCAGCTTGATAAATGACGAATAATGAAAAGAGTTTGTTTTGTATTGCACTGTTTACCTATTCTTGACACTATTGTGGCCCGCGAACAATATGAAAATAATAGTGTGGCCCGCGAGGCCGACAACCTTGAACCACTCTGGTCTATATGGTAGCCCAACAGCTTCCTATGAGGAAAGCTATTCAAATAGTGATTGACAGACAATATATATCCATCCCTAATCCCGAATCTAAATATCTCTAATATAAAAATGTATGAAAAAATTCCGTACTCTTTTGTACAGTGTACAGCGATACAGTGTAATCTCACAATCTCATCCATGGTGTAATAAATGGGTATGGGTAGGCAATACATTATTTCCTGTCTTTACTGAAGTGGTAGCTCGACTTTTATCGATCCTTTTCGGGGTGGCAGGCGGGAAAATACCAAATACTGTATGGAAATAATTAAACATTTTTTTTAATTATTTTCAGATGTTCCGTTCAGTTTACGGGATCTTGATTTTATGGTTTTCCACAGTCCGTATTGTAAACTTGTCAAAAAATCTCTCACTCGTCTCGCTCTCAATGATTTTCTTCAAGACAAAATAAAATATTATTCCGAAACAGAACAGAAGTGTTTTGCTGGATTAGAAAACCTCAGGTAACATTCTTCCATTTTTCTTTATGCACGGCATATTTATCTTCCTTTCCATCTGAACAAGGCTCTGTATAAGCCGCCACAAATATGTAACTAGATATTATATTTTGGAAAGTCCTGCATCGATTTGGCATTGCACACCTGACCTGAAATGGCGCCATAGTTGACTCCAATGCTTTTCTGATGTATCCATATCATGTTGGTTTTAAAATAAATTTTGTAACTTGCACTAGACTACTCATTTGCCCAACAAATAACAATCACTAGGATGAAACGAGCGTTTCAAAAAATTAAAACCACAAACATTGGAATCCATACAAATTAAAATTAATAAAATTCAAATCTCAACTAATCCAAATGGATATTTACAGCAAAGTAGTGAAACCTGCCAAAAAATCAGGATTTTTCTTTAGACTATTTCGTATTTTTTTCCACAAAAAATATTTAATATCTTGTTTAGGCTAGTTAGTCATTTATTTTGATTTTGAAATGTTCGAAAATAATAAGTAAAAACTTGGTACTGAATCATATCTTGGAATCACTGGTAATTTAATTTGAAAATTTTCAGTGAGCCATCTTCAATTTTTATTTGCAGGGAAACAGACCTTGCTTCTTCAATATTTGATAAATCAGTCGAAACTACGTTCATGACAGCAAGTAATAATTTATTCGAATCGAAAACTCATCGATCGCTGCTGATAGCAAGTCGTGTTGGAAACATGTATACTCCATCGTTATACAGCTGCCTCGTGTCTGTTTTAATAAGGTAAGTCTAGATGGGGCTCCAGAAGTGTGTGTATCAATATGGAGGTAACTAATATCGTTCGCCTACTTTACATCAAGTTATGTCCTCGAACTCGTTATAGAGCTAATTCCAAATTTATTTATTTTTCTCATTAATATCGGAAGTGCAATATCATATAATAGTTCAAAGATTGTATTATGTATCAAATTTTTCTTTTGTTATTAAGAAAGTACTTTTGGACTTTGGAACCTCTGACATTTCTTAGGTCGATCTTTTTTTTGTCTGTTCACTCTTTGTATTGTATTCTTTTCTGATTGAAAGTTAAATTATAAACATCCAGAATTCTTATATGATCAGCCATGGTACAGCTAGTGTATGTATAATTATCTTTGGACCTCGCTAGAATTAAGTGTAAACTAAAATAAAATTAGAAAAAGAATGTTTTAATCCTCTTTGTTGTCACTGAGTTTCTTTTTTGTTTGGGTTTTTCCGTTCTTAGCTTGGTAAACTATCCAATTACTTTTACTTATCATGAAAGTTGAAATTTCAGTCGAAAATTTATTTATATGTAAAGAATTGGGGAGTACCAAGAATTCTGAGACATTTTGGGGTGGTTTTAAAAATCCCCTTCCGTGTGATAGACTACTTCCTAATACACAGATGTGGTTGAGACTATAGGTATAGGTAATCGGCTTGAACCACTTGAGAAGTCTGTGGTTATTTCTGCAGTGATGCATTGAATGTATGTTACAAACATATTATGCTCAAAAATTATCGAGACTGAATATGCTAAAATCATACCTAAAGACTATCCAATTTGGTATATAGAGGATTTTGGGGTTGATGGCTTATTGGGTAAAAGGATTGGATTCAATTACGTTGACAACACAGATTCAAAAATTCAAGTTCAAAATCCCATGGCCAGTCACTGTTTTTTCCAAAATTTAATAAATTGGTAGACAATTCTGGACCAGAAAGATACCGATCCTTTCATTGAAAGGAAGCTGCTTACATATTAAGAGCTGCTTATATACGAGGTGTGGCTAAAAAGAAACGAGACTGACGTCACAGATTGCGCAACACGATTAACCATTGGTAATCAACACTTTTACAGTGTGGTGTAATATGTGTTCTTTGTTCAACAGCTTTTTTGACACAATATCGCAATTATTTTTGCTCTTTAGGAGCCATAGGTGAATGTGATTAATTGCTTGTTGAAAAAAAAATTGCCGTGCGAGATCTGATTGAGTTTTTTGGCGATAGGGGGTTCAATTGCAGAATGACGATTGAGCAATGAATTAACATTAAATTTTGTGTCAAACTTGGAAAAACGGCGACTGCGACTTTGAAGAAATTGTGTGATGTTTATGGAGATTCTTCCATGTCCAGAACAAGAGTTTTTGAATGGCACAAGCGATTTGTGGGATGCAGGGAGGATGTGGAGGATGATTCGAAGTCAGGAAGGCCTTGCACTTCCACAACTGATACCAACATCGAAAAGGTATCAGTTGTGAGTTCAGTTGTGAAAGGCAGTTGATTCGCAGCGACCGTCGCTCAACAATTCGCGTCATTGCGAAGTTGGAAAAGACAAAAAAAAACGGTTCGCACCAGTTTGGTTGACACTTTTGGCTTGTGAAAGGTGAGTGCCAAAATGGTGCCAAGGCTGTTGACTGAGGAGCAGAAAGCTCAACGATTAAATGTTGCCCAGTTGACATGCATTTTTCCAAGTTTGACACAAAATTTAATGTTAACTCTTTGCCCAATCGTCATTCTGCAATTGAACCCCCTATCGCCAAAAAACTCAATCAGATCTCGCACGGCAATTTTTTTTCAACAAGCAATTAATCACATTCACCTACGACTCCTAAAGAGCAAAAATAATTGCGATATTGTGTCAAAAAAGCTGTTGAACAAAGAACACATATTACACCACACTGTAAAAGTGTTGATTACCAATGGTTAATCGTGTTGCGCAATCTGTGACGTCAGTCTCGTTTCTTTTTAGCCACACCTCGTACAGAGCCATGTCTAAAGTGAAAAAAGTGTAAACTATGAAAAAAATATTTTTTTAATTGAGTCCTGTTCAACAGAAAAATGTCTGTGAAATATTGTATATTCATTGATGACTTTTTTATATTGATTATTCTATTTTTTACAATTGCTGAATGTTGATTTCTTTTGACTGTGTAATTGATTAAGATGACAATAATGAATGATCATATTCAGAATATTAGAATGAGTAATTAGTTTGAGTAATATATTATTTCTTTGTCTTGTGACTATTGCTCGACAAAATTTGCCTAAATGAAATTAAGTGGGCATGCTGATGAGTCTTTGGCTTAACTATATTAAGGCTAAAATTTACTTGGCCTAAATTCTAAATTTGATGATATAAATTTGGGTCGCTTCTTCCTAACTACTTTTATTTCCAACCCTCTTGGAGTCAGATTTCTAAATTCCTTTTAGAGTTTCAGATTTTAAATGTTGATAATAAAAGTCGAGATTTTTTACGAAAACTTAACGTAAAGTTTACCAAGCTCACAGTAGTCTATTTAAAGGGGGCTCACATATGCGTGTAGCTAGACGGGGACTTTCGTCCGTCAACCCCCACCTTCTGCCTTTCAAAAATGTGAAAATAAAGTAATTTTCTGTATCATAAATAGCAATTTTTCGAAGCTAGAAACGCATTTTAAACCCTCCAGACTTATGAAAACTCACATTTCTAACAATTAGAAATTTTAGACCCCTCCCCCTCGGAAATTCGTGGTTAACCCTCGGGCTTGCATGTGCTAAAGTACTTGTTATCAAAATCATATTTTTTTTAATGGTTGGGAAAAACAAACTTGTCTTTTCAATAATGCTTTCGAAACCCATTGCTTATTTTTGTTTATCTGTGTGTGGTCCTCTCCGATAATACCATATCGAATAGTTGTCCTAGTTCGGGCGTGTTCTGGGCGATTCCTGTTTTTGCAAGATTCTTGTCAATGTAATGAGAGAAAGTGTTATAATTAAGTTTGCAACCTGTTAGTCATGGCATGGTTACGTCATTCCTATTTGAACACAAACAGATAAACAGTTCCAGTTGAAACATCTGGGAATGATCTTGTGGTGTCACTCACTACTGTTGTTATCGCCATATTTTTGCTGACATGTAAGACATAAGGCTGTACTCCCGTAGTGTATGTACCAGGTTAAGGTTAGGCTATAATTTTATTCCGATTTTCTTTATTTTAGATCTATTATGAGTTCGGGGACTGTTTGTGTTATCCAAGTGAATATAACTCTGGCCTATAGGTTTCAGTCCATTCACAACTTGATGTGTAAAGTAGGCGAACAAAATTAGTTACCTCCATATTGGTACACATACTTCTGGAACGTCCATAGAGTTATATTGGGATACATTCTTTAAATATTTTATTGTTTATAGTGTAAATGAATGTTCAAAGTGGGTATTTAATTCAAATAATTTTCGATAATCAAAAGTAAAATGTTGAATTTTACATTGCAATAATTCTAGTGAGTCATGTTTTCTCTCTGTTAAGCTTTATAGGTATTGGCAGAAATTATGTAGAAATAGTCTTAATAAATATAGGTTATGTTGTCATAATTAACATTTATTAGGTTGTTTTTAAACATGGAGTCATTTGATTGTTCTGCTAAATTGTTGTTGTTTTTCTTCGCAACTAATAGACCATTGATTCCAAATTATTATTTATTAAATATCATAGTTTTTGTTTTAACAGTCATTCATTCGAAGAATTATCAAATAAAAGAATTGGATTATTCTCATATGGATCTGGTCTTGCTTCATCTATGTTTTCTATGAAAGTATGCAATGTGGACGATGACCAAAGCAAACAAGCATTAGAAAAACTTATATATGGTATGTAGTAAGATGGCAGTTTTACAATGGTGATTTATTTGGTTACTAAATGCTAAAGTTAATGATTGATAATAAACAAGAGAGCAATGCTTAAATATATAGACATGAAGGACCAATGACTCGTCAGAATACTGGTAGCTTATGTTACTTAAATTGAAATTTCATGTTCAATCCCCTTGCCTACTTCCTCACCCAAGGGTGTAATATACCCAGTAGACTGGTGTTATTCAAACTTATCACACCCACTCGACATAGCAAAATTTTTCTGCGAACCAACAGGTGGAGTGATGGGTCGGTCAGGATCGACCCCCAGTTTGAAAAGCTTATGACAATGCTGAAGCAGAAAGATTTTAGTCTTTCCAAAAAGAAACGCTCGTTACATTTCAGTTCAGGGGTTGTATGGAACCTTGGAGCGAAAGCTTAATAACATTGTCATCTTAGTGAATCACTAGTTTCAGTGCCTACCACATTACCTGGGGTGTATGGTAATCAAACCTGTATGCAACGAAGTGAAATTGTAGAAACAAATTGTGAATTCAGACATTGTGATAACAACTTTAAGAATCACAATTCCAGTTCTTACCACCTTACCTAGGGTGTAATAAAACGGGTACGCTGTGCCCAGGTGGAAAGATTTTATCCAATAGTTGAACGGATAATTGCTTTATATATATCAGAGCCTAATCAAGTGAAAATCAAAAATAAGTTTAAATTTATTCATCCAACCTGTAAACTAAGTTCACTAATTAATATATTCTTTATAAAATCAAGGTATCAGCGATGTGAAACACAGGCTGGATAGAAGACAAGAGATATCACCCGAGGATTTCACGAAAACATTGAAATTGAGAGCAAGCACTCATTTGAAATGTAAGTAAATCTGCTTAAGATTAATAGAATTGTTTTCATCTGTATCCAATCTAAGTCCGGACTCCGAAATCAGCGATTGTTATGAATAGGGTCTAATGAATTTATCGAAATGAGTCTGGACTTATTCTAGTGCAGTGGCTGGCAAAGATGTTTAAGTGAGGCATAACTATAAACGAAAAAGTTTTTAGGACTATCGATCATCGTGTTGGTTACGACCTAGCTAGCCTCAGCCAAGATTTGTTGGAAATTTTAAACATAACCATCTAATAAACTTGTTAAAAGACATTTAAATTGTAATTAAAACTAGCGCACATGGTAGTGGGAATATTGAACATCTGACATAGCGGCACATCTTGTTAGCTTCAGACAATTAAGCTGTTGCGCTGGGGCTCTTCGAAGCTCTGGAATGTTTCATTGGGGTTTCGTTTCACAAAAAAGATTATAAACCACCACACTAGATGGCAATACAGAGCACTTTAGCGCAATGAAATACTAAACTAAGATGAGACTTATTATAGGAGTTGTATTGGTTCCACTTCACTGCAGATGTTATCTATGTTATTAGTTTCTTGTTAAATGAAAACTTCTGTTCACAGGTGACTATACCCCATCAACTCCTGCTGAGCATACGTTTCCTGGAACGTTTCATTTAACAAAAGTTGATGACAAATTTCGAAGAACTTACGACAGAACGAAAACTTATCAGAATGGTTTTACAAATGGACATTAGTTGAAGTCGCTCCGAGTTCTGAATGATTTTTTTGAATTTATTTGATGCATCAATCCATGCTGTAGTGTTAAAGTGTTAGGATGTGGCAATGTGACCTCACTACATAGCAGTGTTGGGTGGTAATCCCTAATTCTGAGTTACAAGTAAAGTCTAGTCCGGCCTGTGGAATGTCGATTGTGACATTGAATAAATTTGAGTCACATTAATAAAAAATAGCACTGGGATTTGAAAGTGCACCGACAACATTCATATTGGCATCAACACAGCCAATTTTAAGTTATTACTGTAATAATATGTTTTCAATACAATATTAATCAACGTGGTGAATAGCATTTCATTGGAGTTTTCCCCCAAAAGTCTCAAAATTATCTACAGTTCTCGAGCAAAGTCTGTGTTTGAGGAATCATTTTTTTTTTACTCTAGTCCCCCAAATACTGCTAGATAGTAAGATAATGATTAGAATTAAGACAACTTGCTGTTTTTCTTTGGGAAATGCATGCAGACCAATAGTTGAAATAGTATTTCAAATGAACAATTTTTTGAATACCAAATTCAGCCAGAGTTGAAATCTTTTAGGATTACCTACAAATTTTTCAAAGATGTTTTAATGATTTGAGGTTACAGAAACTTTTTTTTTGCATACCTATACATTTGGTGCATTTATTGTCATTATAGTAGGTCATCATCAAAGGAGAATTATTTGTTTTCAAGGTTTTTGGATTAATTGTCATCACATAGTTTTCTGAACATGTGCTTTCATTGTTTATTTTGATTTTTTTTTTCTTATAGTTATAATTCTGCCTAATATTTCATTAAATTTTTTCTTCAATATTCTGACTGAAAAATTATGCTTTCTACGTTTTATGTTTCTTTGCAATTTATTCTCAGTGTATTTTTCATATAAGATCTTGATTGGTCTGTGGATTATGATAGAAATAACAATAACTTTGTTATAATGATGTTCTAGTTCACAATATTTTTTCAAGTTATGATTACATTTGTTATAAATGAGTGGAAATTCGCTATAAGTTCCAACGTTACTCTCGTAGTGTGTACCAGGTTAGGCAATAAGTTTGATCTTAAGAGAACAGTGATAAGTAAGCTTCATATAGTTTTACGTTGTTCACACGAAGTCCACCTAGACCTGTGTCGCAAGGGACGGCCTTAACTAATGGGTCACTATGCGAGACAAATTGTGCTGGGCACAATTAAAGCTTGAGCCTTGGGTTGTTTGTAGGGCTGGGCATTTCGAATCGAATAGTAAATTATTCGAATCGGTTCAGAGCTAAATTTCGAATCGCCGCCATCTTGTTTTTGATTTTCCAGTGAATTCCCCAATTTTTTTTCCATTGGAGGCATACTTTTTCAACGAAATTCTAACATAATATGACTATTTTCTGTAGTGAGTTATTGATAAAAATGTGTTTATTATTCTGTGTGAACGCTCAGTAATCTATCTGAGTGATTTATTCTATGTCTTCAGTAATTCATTTGTTGAGAGGACCAATTACTATAACAAAGTCGCTTGCAATTATATATTTTCAAGTATTCGAGATTCGATTCTGAAATCACAAGGTATTCGAAAGTGCCCAGCCCTAGTTGTTTGCCTTGTATGTCAACCATTATCTGCTGTCTGCTGATATTGAGTACTGGTGATAACACTTGTCATGGAAACTTTCACTTTTCTCACTGAATCTTCCACCCAGAATCACGGACATTTGCTTCTTGTCACAAAATTTTTTTTCAGTATTTTCTTCAAGATTTGGTTAGTTCACTTCATCATTACGATGCTGCCATGCCGTTCTGCTTACTGAAAAAAGGGTTATTGTGAATATGAACTGACATGTCTGTGGCCAACTTCGTTCTCATTTCTATTAATATTGATTGAACAATCTTGAATAAATATTCGACAGTATTTTGTTTCTGTTGTAACTGCTGTTGCAGATTAGAGAGCTTGTCAGCATTTAACAAGTAACCTGATGGACAACTAACTGCTTAAGTCTCCCGCCATAAAATAGGACAGCATAAATCTTCTATAAAGTGGGTGCTATCAGTCAGGTAAGGTAGGTACTGATAATTCTCTAGCATGAGTGGTGCATCTGTTTTCAGATGACTTAAAAGGTTGTTCAATCTCTGGTTTAGGGATGAATTAAGCAGACTCGAACCATATAAATAACGATCTGGCTCACGACTAAATACTTTTTTGACTCAACTTGAAGTTTTGATTTCAATTAATAATGACGGTAACAGTCTTGATTTTGACTATCAGTAAAAGTAAATCGTAACCAAACTTGTACTGTGTAGTTAAATTTATGAATTGAAATGTTTGAGGTCAACTATAATTCATTTGTATTATAATTTCATTACTTAGCAATGAAGACCCCCCCCAAAAAAAAAACAGTACTCTCATCAGGCGAGAGACCTTCTTAGCAGCACGATTAAACAAGTCTGCTGGTCCTTTTTAAACATCCTTGCTTTGGTGAAGCCCGTCTTGAATAGTAGGAGCTCAAGAACAGTGTCTAAGATTCTTTCTGCATTATTCACATATTCAAAACTACTATCAACAAACTTGCCATTTTGCATGAATCACTCAACCAGCCCCATCACCAGATATCCAAACCTTCCAGTACACAAAACGTCAGCTTTTTATTTCAAAAGAATAGCAACAATGCTTCATAAAATCCACTTTTACCTCTGTGAGGTAAATATCTCAATTAAGCACAAGAGTATGATTCTGACTGATGTGAAATATGAAGCATCGAAGCCATGATTATATACAAATATTTACAAACATTAAATTAAATAAGTTACCCTTAATAACAGCTAAGTTGAAAATATATCGAAAGGAAACACATTAACCTTAAATAAGTGGTCAACAATAAAGCCATCGGCGTAGAAGGCCGAATAGAGATAGCCACAGGCCCCAAATAAGTAAGCCAAACTGTTGTTGTAATATGTCACATTTAAAAAAGTGGATAAAACCATTTTTCAGATATGTAAGAACATGGAAATTAAACCATGGATAGAAAGTATCATGACTACACATCTTATAAAACAAGGGTTCCCAACTGAGCGTAAATGGGTAAAGTGAGTGCCTTGGCCACATAGCAAATTGCAACATCGTTGGGATGAGGTATTCTGTGTTGCATAATAGAATGTTATTACGCTCTCGCTATGGGGAGACAAGTCTAGTCACGACGCACAGGAAAAGACAGTTCACATACACAGCTAGGGCAGTATGCTCTTCAGCTTTTCATTTTAGGGGGATGTTTTCAAATTTACGGGGTTATCAGTTATAAAACTATTCTTAGCCCCTGGATAATTGAATACAATTATGTTTAAGTTAGGAAGTGCGTCATCACACCATAAAGTTAGGGGGTGTTCAAAATTTGGGGAGGGGGTGTAAAGAGAGAAAAGTCGAGAACCCCCGTTTCAGTGAGATAACCATTACAAAAAATACTTTGTCAAAACAAGGAAAAAGGGTTCTAATTACACTTTGAATTAAGACCAATCAAAGAGGAGAATAGAGATTTGAGTTTGCCAAAGTATCATGAAAAAACAGTGGCATGCGATTTCATAATGTTACCTAATTCACAGTGGTCAAATTTTGCTTCACTGTTAGTAAATTTGAAGTGAAAAACAAATTAGGAAAACAACTTATTGAAACGGCTTCATTTTTGGCATGATCAATAAAGAGTAATTTAAATAAAGAAAAAGAAAAGTATCGATGAAAATTGATGTTTTATTTTGTGCTTCATCATATTGATGCTTGTAAAAAGGTAATTTTCTGATATATTACATACACTATAATAGAAGAAATAAACAGGACACTTAGAAGAGGTATAGCGTAAAATGGAGTATTACGATTTGCTATGTATTTCGAATAGAATTGATAATGGTTTTGAAATGATAAAGTCTAGATGAAATTTAACATCGTATAGCCAAATTCAGTTTTATGTTAAGATCAGAAGTGGAAAATTAACAATGACTTATGCAAGCCTCATTTAATAGAGACTGCTAAAAACACTTATTCAATTTTCATCAACTCAATTTTTACAGTTTCTGTAAAAATGTGTCAGAAATTTGGACTTTGACTCGAGGAAATTCGAAATTTCATTTCGAAAATAAGACTCTGACTCCATTGACCTATTGTGAAATCCCTCAGTTTACATCTGTCTTTATGACACATAGTTCAAATTTGATTACCGTAGTCAACTAAATAAGTTACCCTGTACCAGGATATTGACTGAACATAATAATGACGTTCCCGGGCAAAAGAAATGCGAAATAACAATTATAGATACAAGTCATTGAAAATCAGGCGACGAGAAAAAAATGAAAAAAAAAAAAATATTTCGACTTCTCAACTTAAATTCACACTGATTTAATATAAGAAACTAACGAGTCTGATTACCTTTTACATAAACAAAGTTCTGGGTGATAATTTTCCTTGACCGAAAAAATAAGACAATGAACAATAAACAACAATTACTATGTACAAATTGGAAGGTTGTGAGACATAAATATAACCAAACATTGTTGGCAAAAGTAAAACACCACTTGTCAGATCTTGATATCTTGGGTACCGGTACTGATTTCATGATCAAAAATGTTTACACCAAATAAACTCATGGGGGAGCCCACGTTTTAAAGCCCCACCAAAATAATCAAATACAAACAAACCTTGATAATACAGGGTGGGAAAAAGACTTCCCATATTCAAAATAAAATATGAGAGACTGTTTTGCCTCACCGTGTAAATTTGAATTACTGAACTAGGAAGACAGCCTACAATCTTAGGAAACCAATCACTAAATAAAACTGATTTAAATTGGCAGCAACCCCAATGTTTGATTTTTCAAGGCTTCTGAGCAAAAGGTACGCATGAATTTGGCATTTCAATCTTGGTTATAAATAATTATTTACAATTAACCAGATCTCCATTACTCAACAATCAATTTCTAAATTGAAAAATATTTAACAGAAACAATTTCTGTATCGATAGTACGTAAATCGAACAAAAAAAAGTGCCATTTTTGCAACAAAATGTTTATGAAGCATGGGACTAATGTTATTTACAGAGTAATTTTACTTTATGGGAGAGATATTCCCAGTACTTAGCACCTTAACGAAATGTGTAAAAGTCATAATCATATACCCAAAAAAGCAGTCAGAAACGGCATTTTCTCTTCGAAGTTTGCATCTTGCTGACAACAAATAATTTGAATAATAACTCAAACAAATCTCCTGGACGAGCTTTTTATTCAGTTAATTATTTTTATGGGTAACCCTGTGGAAATTCAACACCCAAATCAATTTTGATATACAGTTTTAGAAATTTAGTACTGTAGAACATATCCAAATAATATGGAAAACTTATTATATAGTACAGGGTGCTCATTAAGTCCTGTTACAATTTTGTTATGAAGTGAGTTGCCAAGATATCTTAACTAGTTTTTAGTGTTCTTTACTTCATTTGATACATCTTTATATGGCCATCATTATCAGAACGACGCACATCAAAGTTCTTTTACCTAATTTAACACACGACTTTATGAACACCTTGTGAATTATTACTTTCTTTAGAACTCGATCAGTAACGCTTGAAAATCTACGAAACCAGTAGTTCTTACACACAACTTTGGGAGATAGTGAAGCAGCGACAACACCAAAAAAATAAGGCACAAAAATTATTAATTATTTTCAACTTCGCAAGTTGATTATTTCCTATTCCTCCTTTTTAAAAATTGTTTTTTTATTATTAAATCTTCTTTTTAAATTTCTGATTCTTTTTCTTCCAAAGGTTGTTCGTCATCTTGCGTAGGAACAACGGCATACCCTTCGTCGTGATTGTTCATAAATCTAACATCTCCATTTTGACCAGCGTCATCGTTAAGTCCCTCAACACTATGTCGAATTCCATACCCAAAGTAGATTACGAAGCCTGGAAATATAAGAATTCAATTACTATTTATTCATGACAGTCACATCACATCAGGGTATCGTCAGTAACACCCTCGTCATCATAGCATCTCTGATTACTTGAGTTTACAGGTTCTGTTGGCGATAATTATTTAATTAATGATAATAATGAAAACAATTAAAATGATCAATTATTCTCACACCCTATCAATGAAGTTTTTCTTGAACCGCACTACAGCCAGGATGAATTCAAGTTGACAATTACTTGAAAAATTCTGACAAAGTATCCATTGAAAATCAATTGAGCAATTCGATTTTTTTCCTATCTCGACTGACGAAAACAGTCTCCAAATTCAATCCAAAAGTCGAAAGTTTTAAATGTCTTACCTACAACCATCCATATAACCATTTTATACCACGTACTGACAGGCAGTGAAACCATCAAATATAGATTTACGAACATGTTGATTATAGGAATAAATGGAACAAGAGGCACCTGGAAAAAAATGTTTTTATGTTATTTTTTCTAAGATCACCAAGATTGTTAAAATTGATTGAATGAAAATATATTACAAGTATTACCATTGTTGTGAATGGGAAGGCTTGAGTTATTGACTCAACTAGAGTTGGACTAAGTCATCAAAGACTCAGAAATAGCTCGAGTCTAAAATGAAATGTCTCTGACTCATCATTAACTAACTTCAGCGAGACTAACTCAATGATTGGTTTGACTTCGGACTTTGACGACCTATGACCTGACTCGCAACTCCGGGATTAGGGACTTTAGTCCCAAACCGTCATTACTCAGCACATGCTTATGCTTTAAAATTGGTAGTTGCGATTTACTGCAGATTTAAATGATTTGCAGTGAAGGGAAACATAATACTTTATAATCCATAGTAGCTCAGTTTAATAGCTCTTGGCACTTCAGAAATTTCTGAAATTCACTTCAAAATCAGTCACTTTTACTTCTAAATGAGTGTGCATGAGCTTGCTTTAAGCAAACCTTATTGTAAAAAGCACGATGATGCAATAATTTTCCTTCTTTAATCTGATTTCAATCAATTCAATATGCCACAAAAGCGCTCCAGAAGTGTGGTTACAAATATGGAGGTGACTAATTTTGTTCTCCTACTTACCATCAAGTTGTGTAAAGTGACGGTAGCCTATGGGTAGGGGGTATATTCAGTTGGATAACACAGACAGTCACCAAACTCGAAATAGAACAAAAATAAGGAAAATTGGAATGAAATTATGGCCTCACCCTAACCTGGTACCCATACCACAGGTATACCCTATTTCCAACCAATTCAAAAAGTATGACACCAAAGTTAATTTACAAATTTTTAAATCTTACTTTGAACGTTAATTTTTCATTGTTTTGAGGTTGAAGAATTATCACAATGCTTGCACCTATGATGACAACGCCAAATATACAAGCAAATAATATAGATCCAGTCGTCCATCCATTCTTGCCAGCTATTATTGCAACAATGCTAAATAAAACCATTGAAGTACCTGGAAGATTCAAGATAGATTAGTGTCAGGGCACAGAACGAAGTTGGGGGAAGTTACCCTGCCTCTAAAAACAGACCATTTGCAAAACGACCCTGGCTCCAACTCCTCAGCTGGTTTGTAAGTTACCAACACTATACCCACTAGAAAATCAAATATTAATGACTCCAGCTCCGAATTCAAGAAAATTGATGCTTTTGAAGCTTATTTCAGAGAAGTTGGCTTCCATTATAAAAAAGGACAATAAAAATTCCATATACTGTATCCCAGGGAGAGCAAAGTTAATAAGACGACTTATTCATATGGCGAACCATGGTTTCTGGTCTGGTTACCAGCCCATGTCGGAAAGTTTGGGTATGGGAACAGATAACCAGTTGTTCAGACGCATTATCACCATTGAAAGCCTTTAATTTTGAATCCGAAAATTTAAAATTTCGACACCAGCACTGAAACATTTGAAAATACAACTTTGGCTCCAACATAATAAAAACATTGAGCTTTACAGCCTAAAAGGGCAAACCTTGAAAAATAACTTGAGATAAACCTATATTTACATGCCAAACTCTGGGTTCCAGAAGTGTGTGTACCAATATTGCGGTAACTAATTTTATACGCCTATTTTACATCAAGTTGTGTAAAGGGACTGAAACCTATGGGCAGGGGGATATTCAAACGGCTGACACAGACAGTCCCTGAACTCGTAATAGTAATAAAATAAGGAAAATCGGGATAGAATTATGGCTTGACCCGAATCTGGTACACATACTACGGGAGTACCCCAAACTCTAATTCAGACAACTGGAACAAATAGTAAAAAAAAGTTTTTAGCCAACATACCGGTAATAACAGTTGCCCAGTTAACAATTGTTGATGACATTTCAGTGGGACTGCTGCCCCTTGGTATGACTAAATGTACCACATTGAATGAACTCTTCCTTTCATGGCCAGTGTAACCATTATCAGTGGTCATTGGCGCTGTGTCCATCATGGCCTTTTCACCGTCGAACCCACCAGGTTTCATGGAAGATACATGCTTCAAACGAGGTCGCTTTTCTGGCTGATACCTGAATAAGAAAATATATCATGAATGATCTTGAGGGAAATATAAAAAAAAGTTTTCATATTCATCATGGAGAGCAGAATGTTGAGGAGATTACATGAACGTACCAGTCACCAATCCATGATTGGTTCGGAAACAATTAACCAGTAACTGGTTTTTAGATGCATAAACTTGATAGCAGAAGAGATCACCAGGATGTGGAGTGGACTAAGAGTCCGAAACGAAGAGTCCATGAATTCTTGCACACATAATTATCCTTCACACAAGATTCAAACAGACAACCTACGAGCTAAGATAATCAGAGGCGCAATGGCAAGCATATTACTAACACTTATTACGATACCACCAACTGCCAAGCTGAAATTATGGTGATACTTATCTTAATATGTTTACCTCAATAACATGACAGATGAAGCAACAAGAGTGTATGCAGCCAATGTTCCGATTGACATCAGATCAACTAATTCCTTCAAATCAAATAGGACAGCCATGATACCTGGATACAATAAAAAGGATTTTAAATGTTACAATGCATACATATCATTAATAGAATCAAACTCCAACAGCAGATATGTGGACCGCCCTAATGCAAGTCCAACAACTGACAAGCTAACCTACACATTGTGCAGCGTGTTTACCTTCCACTAAAAATACTGTAAAAGCAACTTTTTGCTATATAGCTACTATATTTTTTTAAAAGGGACAGAAATCTTTCTGGTTTGGCACAACCTAATCAATTTTATATACTCTGGTTGAGTAGGTTGGTATGCGTTTAATCTCAAAATTTCAAAGAATGGTTGCAAATTTAGTTTAGTTTAAGCAAAACACTATAACCACTAAAAAATCAAATGTTGACAATCTAAGCTTACCTGCTAATGTTCCAGAGATGAAAGTTGCGATCACAGGTGTTTTTGTTTTCTTGCTGACCGTTGCAAAAAAACTGAAGAGAAGTCCGTCCACTGCCATAGCATAGATGATACGAGGCATCGGAAACATGGACCCCAGCAGACTGTGGAAAAAATTATACTTTATTCTCTTATAAGTCTGGTAGACAATGTCAATCAGGAAAGTTTATCAGAAGAAGTAGCTCCCTGTGTGGTTAATGGCGCTTGTCCTACTTTACATCAAGTTGTGGGAAGGGACTGAAACCTATGAGCAGGGGGTATATTCACTTGGATAAAACAGACAGACCCAGAACTTGTAATAGAACCTAAATAAGAAAAATCGGAATAAAATTAGGGCCCAAGTCTAAGCTGGTACATATACCACAGGAGAATAGTAAGCACTGGTCCGAATCTCGTTTTTTTAATTAAATATAATAGAATTAAATATTTGACTTAGTGATGGCAATAGTAATAATATGATTGGCAATTTGCAATCTCCGTACCAATTAGTTACATTTAATTACGGCCAATTAACAAAATTCCTTGGTGATTCTTTAAGCGATTCTCGGTTTCAAGTGTGATTAACGGTCAAATTTTGGTTGTAAAAAATATTCAAGTCACAAGTCCCAAAATTAACAACCCTCAGTTATTAAATTAACAACTACCAAGCACCCACTGATTAAAATAGGTCAGAAGATCCTTTTTAGTGGGAAGGACTAGAATCTTTCCGGTTCGGAAAGCCCACCCAATCATTACACCCCGGGTAAGGTCTTTGAATTTGAATCCAAGATGTGTAATCTGTGATGCCCATTGACAACACAGTTAAGTCTTGCACTTTACCCGCTAGGCTTTCAACAACTTTTCAGCAACATTAACTATCTGAAATCTAACCATGAACCAAACACAATATACACAGAAATATAACTTTATAAAATCCTGAGATAACTCTGTTCTATTGACCATATTTTCAATTATGAAAGAATATATACAAAAATGGGTTCTCCCGAAGAATGTAAACAAAGATGGCGGACACTGAAACATAGTATGTGTACTAGGTATGGGTTAGGTCATAACTTCAGGTACAAATAATATTGGATTCACTTGGCTAGTCTCCGAACTCGTAATAGAACTTAAATAAGAAAAATTGGAATAAAATTGTGGCCTAACCCTAACCAGCATCGGTGTCCGCCATCTTGGTTCACATACTTCGGGAGCACCCAAAAAGAGAAATAATTCACATATAGATCATATAATCTTACCTGGTAGAGAGAGCACAAATTGCTCCGATCGAAACTGGTATTTTTGCCCATTCTAGTCCGACATACTCAAAAGCGTATGGTAACGGAGCATCAGTGTCCAGAAGAAAGTATGGTTGCATTAGTGTTAGCGTTGATGAAATTAGGAGGTAGGCAAAGCAACAGATGGTCAATGAGAAAACAATACCCAACGGAATTGCCTTTTGTGGATTTTTTGCTTCTTCGCCTGAAATATAAATTTAAATAATAGATGTTGTTGCTTTGGTAACAAAGTGCCTATTAAGAGTCTTGCAAAGTTTTGGATGACTATTTTAAAGTTTTTTGAAAATAGGAGTTTTTGTTGTATTATTTTGCAAACTATGTAGCTATTCCACAATCCTAGAATTATTTCCAATAAATGCATTTTGGAACTGAATGCTTTACAGAAATAAGTTGGATTTGATCTATTCGACACACTAAAATCATATTTTCAGAAACTTAGCACCACATTTTTTTGGGTGGATTATTTTCTAATAGAAGTCCAATAGCATTAATCACACATCTTCAAATTACAGTTTTGCAATTTTTTTTTAAATAACGCTTCGAATTTCATATAAAAAAAAAGAGTAAAAGCAACTATTTTTTTAAATATATAGGTGTGTGTGACAAGAAAAATTCCAATTCTTCTTTAACATGATAGATTTCAATGCATAAATGACTGTTTGACGAGGATGTATGGGTGTTCAACATCTGTCAAAGAATTGTCAACTGTCACTGGTATAATTCATAGACATAATTGGTAAATTGAACATCCTAATAACTTATCAGACCAAACTATTTCTAACTTAGTTAATTTGACTCTTTAGTAATGCAAAAACTAATTGAAACACCATAGCAGTTATGCCAGTCACAAAAACTGATAAAATTAAGTTGAAAATCAATACCATTGCCAGATTAGGATACAGTACAATTGACCAGTAAAGCTGTATCAAATTTCCAAAGACTTATGTGTGTGGTCTACAATGACGACATTTTAACACAATTAGTCGAAATGCCCGAGGGAAAACTGACGTGAAACTTCTTATAATCTCTCTCAGTATTTGCGGTTTTATAGAATATTTTACGGGCTAGGAAGATGAACCGGCTGAACATATAGGGGGGTGTGTAATGTGATGGCGATGCCGTAGCCAATCCGCTTATCAGCAATGTAAATATATTTTCAAATGAAATATCTTGCTTATTTAGATGATAAAGTCAAATTGAAAAATGTCTTACAACCAACGATGGATAACTACCGGTAATTGGTGTCATAAATGGAATAATATCATATTAACGAAACTGCAACAATTTTATGATTCTAGAGTTGTGATAAAGATAGGATATTCTATATTCATTCTGGTAGGCAAAAAGATGAACTAATCATAGTCAAGCTATTACTAAAGTCCAAAGAGAGTACATCCGCATATTGTTAAGTTGTCTTATCATCTTTTCGTTCTCTAGGGAAAAGTATGTACCGGAAATCTTATCCCATATGGTAAACGGTAATCGGTACTCCCGTAGTATGTGTACCAGGTTAGGGTTAGGCCATAATTTTATTCTGATTTTTCCTATTTCAGTCCTTTCACACAACTTGATGTAAAATATGCGAACAAAATTAGTTACCTCCATATTGGTACACACACTTCTGGAGCGCCGGTTAATCAGTAGTGCAATGGAAAGTGTGCTCTTTAACACTTGAACAGAAAGTGGCAAATCATCTCCTATGCTTGTACAAAAGGTTTGATAGTTTGCATTGAAACACAAGATAAAGATAATAACACTCTAACAAACCTGTTGTTGCGATGCAATCGAAGCCAACGAAAGCATAGAAACATGTTGCAGTTCCCGATATTAAACCTGCAAATCCATACGGAGCAAATCCACCGGTTCCATATTCACCATACGTAACATTAACAGTGTTATTCCTGAAAATATCGAAAATTATCTGAAAATGGTCATTCATACATTGAAACTATTTCTGTTGGCACAATTTGAAGTTTGCCACAAACATACATAAAGTAAGAAATGAAAAAACATTGATTGCTTTTGGAAGTGCGAAGAACTTATAAAATGTTAAATGTAGATTACTCATTGCTTTATCTATGTTAAAACACTTACGCTTCAATAGTCATGTTGTAGATTTGATCGGGTGTGAGATTCCAGTATTCTAAGTTGGCGTGAGTGAGTCCAGCAATCACAACAAATATGATAACGCAAATATTCAACACAGTGAAAATTTTATTGACAACTGCAAACTCCTTCACACCAAAAGCAATTAGAGCTGAAAAGAAAGGTTTGGTAATATATAATATGACAACTATTAAGAATCTTTTAATTGAGATGATCTCTCTTGTGGTGGCTGGTACATACAAATTAATTTCGGATAATATATGAATTCTGAGGAGTCACATAGAAGAAAATATTTCAATGGTATAAATTAATACTGTATTTGTTTAAATTTCAAACCAATTCAGCATGGAAATAAATTACTATTCCAGTAAAGATATGGCATAATTACAACCACCCAATAAACAACTAGTCATCTGTTTATACATATACACCAGTTCGAAGTATTAACACGTAGTTTTGTAGCCATGAGCATTACCAGGCCACAAAAAGATTCTAACATGTATTTTACTTTCCCATAAGCGCTTTGTGTATACCTATATAATTTAACTAAGAAACCATAATCTATAGTGTATAATGCAATTATTTCTTCAAGCAAACAGAAAGTTTTCTAAGAAATTATGTTATCACTTTTATACGACCTTTCACATCTTGTTCACTCCAAGCAAGGCTCTGTGCAGGCAGTGGGGGCCAATTGCGACAATCATTTATGCTTAAATTATTTCGAGCCACGGTCTTTTGTCAGGTCATATTCAGGGACAGGTATAACGTTACCTACATATTTGAACCACGTAGAACATTGATATTATGGTCAAGTTATATTTCATTGTTGTTTGTATAATTATAGTCAAAACCTGATATGGAAGTTATATTTTTATAGCCAGCCTATTATTGTAAGCATGTGTGACCTCGCTTGCTCAACATCCCAAACAGGATGTAAATTTTCCGCCACAAAGCATTTAAAGCGAATTATAATTGACCGTGCTTGGACCACAGATCGTTGACATCAATTCTGCCGAAAAGTGGGCGTTTCGGGGGCGTGATTTCACGCGGGCGTTCCGGATGAGAGACTGGTTTAACCGTTTTGTTCCATCGCGTTATATTCATAAATTTAATGTAAGAATGTTATTACCATCTTAGGACAAACATAATCGTTTGATAATTTGATCATATTAACCTAAATCACGCATGGCACAAATGAGGCCACGATTTAAATACATTTTTGATTCTTTGGTGGAAATACGACACCTCCACTATGACGCATATTACGGGAGAAGACATAGTACCGCTAACAGCATCAAAATAATGTCCGTGTGTGCTTAACAATAAAACGCTAAAAGCAGAGTAATACGGAGAAAATATTTGACAATAACAAAACAAAAAACTATTGAGGTTTTGTGTATAAATTTGGTTAATCCCGCAAAGGGGATCTCTAAGCGTTGGTCTGTACTCCTTCAAAAGCATGTTGTACGTTGACGCCCATTGTATCCTTGAAAAGCATGTTGTACGTTGACGTCCATTGTATGCCACTATTTTTATGGTTTTAAGTTTATTTATATAACAGAATTTTTTATGCTAACGCCCATGGCCGCAATATGTATCTCAAATAAGTAGTTTGTTTATTTAGCATAGGATTTCCATATCATCCAGGGGGAAAGGAAAGCCGATATGACGTCCTAATCATATAGCGAATCACGGCCACCCGTCCGATTATCAGTACATGTCGTGAAGATCAGGTACGTCGACGTGGTATTGAATACCAGAGTATCGTATAATGGCGCACATAAAAGGAAATCGGTAACACAGAAATGAGACGCCGGTATGCAAACCTTTTTGTCAAATTAAATTAGCGGTGTGGAAAACTCAGACAAAAATTTCGTTCATTGACGACGTGAAATTCCCGCGATTTTTCGGTTATGCATGACTAACTTCCGGCGGTGTTATGACCCCATGTAACATGTCTTGAGTCACGTCGACAGTGTTTATCCCAAAATGGGCCGGAGGGAGCTACGTTATAACTTAGAAATATTAAAATCGCCAGTAACGCACGGCACATCCATGTTCTATACTTGTGAACAAACAACGTACCGATATGACATTATAATCTATGGAAGAGGTTCTGGGATACTTTCGAATAAACACGGTGATTCACCGACTGTAGTAGAAACTGCAAAAAACATGCCATGAACCCTAGAAAGGAAGAAACCCTATGACCTGTTAAGAATCCGATCAAAATTAGCGCATGTGTAGCCTGCTAACACGGAATACGAATTCACATTTCTTATTCGAAAACAACCACTGCTGAATTTAATACCAAACGACTGAATTTAATACCAAACGACTGAATTTTTTTTATTTATAAAATATATTTCATGTATATATATACAATCGAGCGGCAAATTACGCCAACAGTTTAGCAGTGTACGTTACTAGCCAACCCAAGTTGTGATTGTTACATTCCGATGCCACCCTTACTAAATTTTCGGCGCTATGTCTAATATATTCACGCATGCGAGACAAATTTTTGAAATACCTCTGTAATCGAGACTCAATGGTTGAATAAACAGAATTCTTGAGGAATTACGCCGATCACCCGGAGAAAACGTTATCAAAACTTTCGGTGCAATGAAATAATAACGTGACCTGCTTGCGTGAGTGACGTAGGTAATTTCACTCAATATAGCTTGATCCATCCGACCCCACCTTTATGCGTGGGAAAAGGCAAAAGTACACGTTTCTCTTACGTACAAATCAAAGAAATGTTCCTAAATTTAGCAATCACAAAGAAAGAGCAACTGGGAAGTTATGCTTCCGTATCCGTGTCCTCTCTCGTACAGAATAATTTGCATGATTCGACCAGTCATTTCCGTTGCATTGAAGACTACATTGGTGTAACGATGTTTCGGTATATTCAAATTATAGTTTCCAGAATGGGATATTGACATCGCGACTTTTCCACAAAGTATTCAGATATTTTTTAGGATTTTAATATCTGTATAAGCATATATTTTTAGGTATTAGTTAGTTATTATGCAAATCGAAATCAGCCGTATTTTACCTGCAAAAACTCGAATGAAACTTAGGTTGACATAATTTAATAATTTATTACTCTGTTGTAGTGGTCATGCCCCACTGCTAATAATTTGATACTCACTCCTCCTCACGGTGTGGCAGAAATGAGGCATTAGCATATACTTATTTTTTATATGTTTGATATGTACCTCACTGTCTTGTCTGTAATAATGAGCAGATTGAAATTGGCAAAAAAAAAAAAAAAAAAAATTGGCAACTGAATGATTTGTAAATTTTATTACAGCGTTAATTGAGGTATTTTCGCGAATAATCGAAAATATATTGGTATTCTACTAGAAAATAAGGAGAAGCTTTCGATCCAAACTATAAAATGTCGTTATTAATGATTTTTTAATCTTGATAAAGTCGAGTGGTACCCATTGAGAAAGAGCGCAATTGAATCGTGCACCATTCCCTAATGTTAACCCAGCACTCGCAGGAAACAAGATAGCTAAGAGATTTCTGGCCGGAAGCAAATAAAGAAGGCAGAGATTTTTCAATCTCTTTCCAGCTGTGAAACAAGGCCTACATAATCGTCTATGAAAAAAATACTTGAATGAATTAACCTTATCCGCGTTATACCAACTGTATCGTTATTTGTATTGGCGTCTGATGGCTCGTACGTGATGTGGGGAATGAAGTGGTACTTACTGATTGTGACAGTAAAAATGTTGTCCTACCGGTGGTCTGCAAGTGTTGTTCAATCGATTTGTTTTAATAATGTTATTGTATAGAATGGCGCAATGTTGTTATTAAACCGTTTGAAGTATATTTTTGGAAATGTTCTTACATCGCCGAGAGAATACCAGCGCTTGGTAATATTTTAATGTTGAAAATACGTGAAATAAATTGTTAGCCCATACAGACGATTTTCAGGTGGTTTGTGACGGCATAGCGGTCTAAACATTCAACTTAGCTATGTCGGGTTACAAATATCTCGTTTGAATTCCATGCCCAACACCTCACGCAGGGTATAATTAATCGTAGGCGAGGTCGAACCGGAAATATTTCCGATTCATAAAGAAAAAATGGAGTAAGTAGCTCTTTACATATCAGTTGTTTGTACAAAGTATCGGCAGTGTAAAACTTCAAAATATAAACAGCATAAATAGAGAGTTATTCTATTATAAGAAATATTGATCAAGTTATGTGTATTAATTTGCCTAATGTATCTTCAACGTGAGAAATGAAACATTCATCACTTTTATTCGAATAATAACAAAAAATTTCGAAATTCCGCTTTTACCTTACCATCATAATAAAGAGGAAATCAAACCACATTTCACACAATACCAATCCAAACAAACCAGAAAAAAGAGGAACCAAAATTATTAGGTTTTATAGACCAGAATAATTCCCTGGTTGCCACATTGAACGATTTTATCAAAACATTGTAAATGGTGAAATCGCATATTTTGGAATAATAAATTGATGGCTTGATGTTTTTATCAAAAATCAATGGGAAAAATGAGGAACAGGATATTCGAATATTTTCATGTTCTCGTTAAAACGAAATTTACCTAACCCAATAAATGGAAGAACATTTAAAAAAAATTCTAATTCGCTGAACCCCAAAGTCGCGAGTCACGTGATATATGTGTCAAGTCAGAGTCCAATCAAATTTCAAAATTAGAGTCCCAAGTCCCGTCAGTGCACTCGCGATTCCCATGCCAAGTCGAGTGTGGCTGGTCTTTTGAGTCTCTCAAAGATTCGCGCAAAATTTCCTTTCGAGTCCAGAGTCAAGTTTCCCTAGCGGTTAGATGTGTCGAATTTAGTCAAGTCACGAAGTCTTGAAAAACGCGAGTGATCCCCCAACACCGGAAAAAAGAGCTCACTTGCATTTGCTAGTTAGTTCTTAATCCATAATTTTACTATTATTTTGTATATCAACTCACCTGTTAAAATAATGATAATAACGAAGGAAAATATATCAGGATAAGCAGCAAGTCCAGGAGCGTTCATCGAACAGCAACTCAACATGAATGTCTCAATCTTGTTTCCGAGCAAAGCATCGAAATTTGCTGTCCAAGCCCTGGCAACACTGGCAGCGCCTGGATAAAAAAAGACGAGTAATAAAAATCAACAAGTATTGGTATTCAAAGGCGGGCGCGAAATAATGGTTTGCTCAGGTAGAAACGGTTATATAATGACATGTTTACGTTAAGACACGTTTTTGTTAAGACGACGTTGCCACGCTGTGAAGTGTGCGCAAATTTAGAATAGACTTTGGCTCCGTCTGAAACATATTACGAGTAGTGGTGGTGTTTTGGTAGTGTTTTAAATACTGCAGGGACAGTTTTTACTTTCCGGGAAGTCTGTGGTGATGTGGACGATATCTACACATTTCTCGGAAACAAGTGACAATGCAAATGTATCTCGAAACCGCCCTTCTATGTTGCAATATTAACAGTTACAATATATTGTATTTTCTTAGAAACGAGAGAACAATGCAAATAACTTAGAACCCTCCCTTATATATTGTGATGATATATTTACAATTCTCGGAAACAAGGAACCAAAAAGAATGTACCCCGAATACACCCATTTATATTGTTACCAGTGTTATTCCAGAGCAAAATATTATGTTTCTTCCTGTACGTACAAATATCATCAGAGCCGTGATTGGTTGAAAACTGAGGAGTGTCAAATATTGAAATAAAGAATCTAGAGTCTAGACTAAGCAATGAATATATAATTAAATGAATTGTTCAACTACCGACCCACTGGCTCTACTTGATTGAGAGACCCATATGTAATAATCGACAATAATATAACACAATAGAAAACCGTCACTGTAACTGATAACTATCAGCAAATTGAATTTATTTTTAGTGTATTTGTCGTTCGAGGCATATTGGAGATAGAATTTTTCAATTGTGCATTGTCGCCTCTTTAGACGACTTTCGAGTACCCTCACATATCATACAATGGCCTATTTTTATCCAAAGCCATAACATCCAATCAAAATTAACCGTTGACAATCGGCGTTAACGCCCACCAAACTGAGACAAGGGGGTACTATCGTACATTCTAGGTGTTTCGCAGAATTCCCTCCGCTATACACGAGTCAAAAGCTGAAAATTCGGAAGATGATGTTCGAACATTGGATAGAAGTCACGCCCAAGTTCGACCCAAAGTCGCATTTGATTGGCTGTTATGATGGTGCAATAATAATACTCACCAATCACGTAAGAGAGAATGAGGTTCCACCCAATGACGAAGGCACATAATTCGCCGACTGTAACATAGCTGTAAACGTATCCTGATCCAGCTTTAGGCACGCGTGCTCCAAATTCGGCATAACATAAACCTGTGAAATAGAAATAGAATAATCTATTGTTCCAATATTATAAATATATTTATTGTGTTGTGATATTTGATATACCGTGACCCCGTTCTAACAAACTCTGATATTGCGCGATGGGCCGGCGTTAGGGGTTGAAGCGTTGGACTGGACTATGTTGGAATTGCATGTTGCAAAAATATTGGGATAAAAACCCATTTACGCCATCCCCTTACAATAGCTTCTAACGCAGAGCATTGTTCAAAAACGCCGTAAATATATTTCCATGAATTTATTACAAGTTATTTCATATCGAATTTTCGGCGCTTCCGAGGTATGTGTACCAAGATGGCGCACAACCTGAACCCTAACCTGGTACACATACTATGTTCAGGATGTGCGCCATCTTGGTGGAGCTCCAAATTTTCGTGCAAAATTGCATGACGAGTGAAACCAAAATCTCTTATGATCTTGTCTCAGAAATTAAGCAACGCCGAGTTAGGTTAGAACTTGCATGGATGATAGGCTGAGAATACAGGGTGTCTTCGGCATTGCCTACCCAAGTCATTACACCACGGGTAGTGACGGGCATGGGCTTCAAACCAGAGTTAAATACAACGCGGTAACAAACCCAGTAAACCGACCATCGCGCTCGCAATTCTATTAAAACGTGCATTTTGACCTGGATGAATGAATACGTCATACGCGGTTGGTCCGCAAACGTTGTGTATCGGCAATAATTGCACGCAACCTATAGTATTTGTTAGATTCGCGACCAATTCGACCAACAAACTTTTCACTCTTTATTTACTGAAACAATATTTGCGCAAATTTTGCTTACTCCTTGGTTAAAAATCATTCTGTTACTTTAAGGACCTACCGGACGTTGATTGATTTACTATAGTCGCTGTTAATCATTGACAATTTGCTTTCAAACATTGTTTGAATGACCAGCGAAGGACTCGCCCTATTGTTCTAATAAAGATTCTATGAAATGCACTCATCTGCACAACAAGACATGAATGGCTGTATGACACTTCGCACATGGGTGCTTCGTCGCTTTGAGAATTGGATGTAAATTGGCTTCAAGTTAAATTTATTTAAATATATTGTACGCATAACTGCAAATCCACCATTAAATATACTTATCCAGTGAGTATCACTTGCAAGAATATATAATTCACGTTCAAATTTACGAATATTTCATCTGTTACGTAATTTGCGTCATTATTTATCAGCGATTACCATTCGACCACTCGAATTGCATCAAGTTAACTCTACTTCTTTTCTCCAACAAGCAAAAATCAATCTTACACACAGATAACGAGAATAGAAGCATGCACACCGTTTTACGAGGATGGGCACCGGAAATCAAAGCTGGTTATGAATCAGCGACTTCAAATGTATATTTTTATTCTCTCAATAAAAAGATTCTAAGTAAATTCTAACGACTATTATTCAAGAAAAAAGGTTGTACTGAAAATTTTAAAACAATCGCACTGTATTGGCATGAAATTCGTAGAATTAGTGTTACGTAAATTTTTCAGTTTAAATTAGTTTATAATAAATTTAATACCGAACTTTATGCATTAGTATACTATTGCGGGGATTGTGGTTAAGGAAATCATATATTCCGGGATCCGTTGGTGTCACCGTGATAAATTATTCATTCATTTGCATTGCGCTACTAGAATGCCCATTAGCGTTGACGACAGTTATAGTGACCTGAGGGTCACTAAAAACCATCTACTTTTTGCGATTCTGTATATCTATTCTATCGTAGAAATGAGGAAAGGTGGTAAAATTGTACGTCAAACATGTTCGTTAACCGCTAGATCGGCGTACTTCGAGGCTGCAAAAATCCTGGCAGAATTATAGTATATATATTTACACGCGGAAAAATATTTTGCTTAAGGCGGGCAGAATCAACAGTTCTCACTCGGAGTCTTCACTCTGATAAATATTTTTATTGGTATATTGTCGTGCATGGGATTTGAGGTTCTTATGTCGAAATAATCTTACTTTTATACCCTTGATATAAAAATTAAATACTCGTAAACGGGGATAATAAAGTTTTCTTTGTCGTAATGACCTTAACTACCTCTTCAAGTGTTGCGTCAATCGGTCTTTGCCAACGGGATATTCACTGCTATAATTCTTTATAGAATACTCCGGTAGTGTGTGTACCAAGTTAGGGTTAGGCCACAATTTGATTCCGATTTTCCTTATTTTGGTTATATTACGACTTCGGGGACTGTCTGTGTTAGCCAAGTGAATATACCCCCTGGCCATAGGTTTCAGTCCCTTGACACAAGTTGATGTAAAGTAGGCGAACAAACACACTTCTGGAGCGCCAAAAGTTCAAGTGTTAAAAAAAAAATTTCTTCCATTTTCGTACAATTAATGAGAAATTTATGGATTTTGTTTTAATCGAGCAAGCCTGTTGTATTCGGATATGAATATGCTAGCTTTATAAGTCGCTCTTGTTCTATACACAATCAGCATTAATATGAGAAAACGACAGAACCGCCGACTAAACAATACTACCTTAAATTAAACTTCCGTTAATAATCTCCCATACTAAGATAAGGCACGACAGACTGATAAAATTTCAATTATGATCGATATCTGACCTCATATTGGCGATAAAATCTTAATAAATAACTAAACGTTTCTTCGGGGCATGTGAGAGAAGCTGATATATAATTCCTCCGTGGCTTAAAACGAAAAAATTAAGTTGTTGTCCTGGGCTGCATGGTCGGGAAAAATTCACAGTCGACTCCGACTCCGGGATGATTAAAAATTTGACTCCGGCGCATGACTCAAGACCAGCTTCGAAATACCAGAAAGAAAAGAAAATTGTTCTAAAAACGTGCAAATCTTCTTTGATAGCCAATTAAGTTATTTTTTTCTAGTGTGTGTAAAATTGATTCGATTATTGTAACTCTGATTCCGGACACCCGAAAGTCCGAAAATACCAATCTGACTTCGGTTTTAAAATAAAATGTTTAAAACTGGACTCCTGACTCCACATCCCTGCTTTCGCCGACAATTGTAGGATTTTCATATCAATATCCCAAAATGCCATCAATAACTATGAATATTATAGTAGTTTTTCTACATCACCGCAGCAAGAATATCAATCGTATTTTTTGAGTAGAATTGATTTCAGTATCTTTAAAATACGGCGTATATGATTGATTCATTATACTTACTATAAATCTACTTAATACCTTGGACGCTACAACATTTTGCCCGTTACTAGCTAGAAGCAGAGATGGATATATGCATCACATATCGCAACTTGAATGTGCTACTATTAGCGTACTTGGAATGTAAAACACACAACTGCATAGATTTTTTAGATCAGCTACATAAAAGGGTGTATATATGAACCCAAATCGCCATAACCTCCATCGTATAGACGGCTTAATAAACAGCGCTCCTGAAATATGCGTACCAAGATGGCGGACACCGGAAAGTAGTATGTGTACCAGGTTAGGGTTAGGCCATAATTCTAGGTACAAATACTACGCGAGTCACTTGGCTAGTCCCCGAACTCGTATAGGAGGAAAACAAGGGGAATTGGAATAAATTATGGCCTAACCGTAATTGGTACACATATTACGTTCCGGTGTCCGCCATCTTGGTACCCATACTTCAGGAGTACCTAATAACCTGCCATATAGACAGCGGTCCGGACTTTAAGGGCGGCTACACAAGACAACTTACCAGATAGTACTGAAGTCAATGCTGCGATGAGAAACGCAATAACAACGCTTGGTCCACTCGTATTCTTTGCAACGGCCCCTGTCAGTACGTAGACTCCCGCACCTGCAACGGCAAACGTTAAGATAGAAATAATCTCTAACAACCCTTTGGGGCATTTTTTAATTAAAGGTTAATTTTCAAGATCACGCGTTTGTAACATGTTTATTTCGAAATATCAACTTTAACACAATAATGGAGATTTTATTTTTTCAGTTCATTTAAGAGTAGATTACTATGACGCAAAAAATAAAACGCCCGGGAATCATCAAATATAAGAATTGATCACAGAGAAAATCGATTAATAGGAACAGATTATAATTTTAAAACTATAATAAAATTAACAAATTATAAATAAAACTTTAATGAAAATGATCAATTTTTCACACAAACTCGTAAAAAAAAACTCACCCAGAGTCGATCCAACACCAAGAGCAGTTATATCAAAAGTATTTAGAATCCTTCTCAGCTTCGACTCATTCATTGTTCCTTCATCAATATGCTTCTTGCGGGTAATAGCACGAGCAAAATTGGAACACACTTCCATTTTGATTTCAGTTATTAGTTATATTCAAATATTAATATAATCCCTAGCGCTTCTGGCTTTCCTATTTCTACGTCCATAATAAATAAATACAAAAAATAAATAATGAACAAATAAAAACTTGTTACTCTAACATTACTAATTACTAAAAGAGATGAATAAATGCCACGAACAACACCAAAGCCTTATATTATTATGATGTCACAGATGAAAAAACGTAAATTTGAAATGAGAAAATAATTACTAGATCAGGTTACTCAAATACACGTGTACGGTACTGCGCGTTTTCTATCGCTAGTTTTTCTTTACTCTCGCTCGTTTGCAAATTTCACAAAACCCGTCAGACGTACTCTTGAACATTAAAAAGATTTTTAAATTTGAATATCAATGTGCAAAAATATTATCATCTTGTCAAAATATTATTACATAACGGTGAAAACTGCCCATATGCTTCGAATGGTAATTTTAGACCTTATAAACCTCAATACTGTTAGCGGATACACGAGGCCACCACCTTTTCGCCTTATCTGCTGCTGTTTGTCTCACGCTACGAAATTTTCATGATATTAAACAAAGGCACTTAACTGTATGTGTACTCAGGTTGTTTGTCCTCCAATAAATACGAAATACACACATTGCGAAATATGCTTACCGCAGTGAAATTGTCGGACTGATATAACAGGCCATTAGCTGCCCAAATATGGTACATACTTGGTACTTCTATTAATGGTGTTTCACGAACGCGGCACATATACGATTTGCAACTTCGATAACTTTACTCATTGGTGAAGCATTATTCACTACTAGATTGCAAAATCTTCCACGTGATTGGGAAATGCTGAATCCCAACTTTTCAAACGATTCTGATCTGATTTGAATTTTTAATTTAAGGTGACAGGTTGCGACACACTTTCGATTCTGTTTGCTCATTGGTTTGATCAAGGAAATAACTTTCCTCGCTTAACAATTACCACAAGCCTTTGTTTTAAACTTCAATAAGCAGAGAGAATGTCGATGTGCACATACTACATATATATGTAACATAGGGTGTCCATAAAGTCTTAAAATGTTTTAAAATTGCAGAGGGAATTTATCGATACCATATATTATTTTGGCCCTCACAGATGTATTAGATAATTAAATAAAGTAAAAATACTTGAATAACTGCTGATTAAAATACAACAAACCTGGTTAAGAATTAAGATATATATATATTGAGAACTGACTTCATAACAAAATTGAAACTTTAGAGAGATTTAATGGACACCCTGTATAATACCTTAACCGTTTTCAGATTGCTAGTCGCCGTAATTGTTTGTATTATACACATTCAATTTATATCCACCTATTCTCACTTTATGCTTTTGCACAAGTGGTTACGGTAAGAATGCTGTGGCAAGAATAGATTGACACACCTGTGTTGTTGTGTAGCAAGACAAATTCAACCTTTTATTACTTGATTTTTGAAAGCCAGAACCTATGATAAATTAAAACATATGAAAACCAATTAATTGTCTTTCATAGGCTATATTTCCTATAATACATTTCTGCGTTATTATTCTAGCTAGAGTAAATACTTCCCAAATATTTATTTTAGGACGCAACAATCAAAAACTTCGTATTTTCGTAAAATTAACCATAAACGAAAAACAAGAAAGAATATTTTAAAACGACAATTCACTTTATATAACATATTTTACGTCTATGAAAAATGAATTCGACTCATATTTACATTTCTAATCTAAAATACATCATAACCGAACAAATTAATCCAAACCGAACGAACTTCCATAAAAAACAACAGTCATGAATCCAACTTCGCCGTGGTTCACACCAGACTATTTTTGTCGGGAGCGCAACAGTTTGACAAGCCGGCTTCAACGAACATCACGACTTGTCATCACAAATCATTTTTCTGGCGTTTCCGCGCCGGAAACAATTGGGGGGTGTTCGATTGTTGTAAAGCTAAGAAGATACATGGAGTTCCCAACGGCAGCCTACAAAGAATAACATACATATTCTCACAATTATAGTTGTAGACGCAGACATTTGGGCATGTGAATTTTGACTCTATGTATGTCGCAAATTTTAGAATGTCAAGTCACCAATATTTTAGAATGTCAGTATCACCAATATTCCGATAACGTGAGAATTGAGAAAAACTGTTGTTTTTAGAGGGGGTTTTGTACAAAAAAAAACTATGTTTCACACCTTAAAATTGCATTTTTTATATTTTTAAAAAGTTTCCAAACAGGGGCCTACAAGGAATAACATATCTTTTCCTGAAATTATAGACGTGGACGCCGACATTTGGGCATAAGAATTTTGCCTCTGTGTATGTCGCTAATTTTAGAATGTCATTATCACAGACCTCTCAAGATTACTGGAAATACAAAAGAAACGAGAATCTCCTTTTCATGGTCTCAGATACTCTTTTCTACACGCTCATCCAAATTAGGTTTGACGGAAGGGGGACTCGAAGCAAGATGTTTCAGTTGGCGAGGGTTGGCAGCCCACCTATTTTTGGAAATGAACCCTTTAGCTGCTACGTCTAACTTAACAATTAGAAATTTCATAATCGCTCTTTGCAAATTCCTGGTTACGACCTTGGGTTTCATATATACCTTAAAATCAATCTTTACATTTTCAAATACGCAAATCTACTTTTCTTTTTCAATATTAATATTATAAATGAAATTAAAAAAATGAATTTATAATCTTAAAAGGGTATACGAGTATTTCATTTTTGTACGCCACGGCTTCCGCTTAACCAGCCCTGCTGACGAACGACGAATTAAGACTGACGCCGAATGTGGCTAATGCGTCGGGGATAAATGAGGAATTCATCCACACTATTAATATCATTATTAATCCATATGAAAAAGGCTGAAAGAGTGTCTACAGAAGGCAATCACCAGATTTTGGCTCTATTGTTAATCCATAAAGCCACCGAAAATTTCCCGGCGATGTGTTATATTAAAATGCCCGAGGTGTAACTGAGGTATAAAGTAATACGATCGGGATTATGGAAACGCCCTCCACACGCCCACAAATGCCACGTGGTACCAAATTTATTCTCCATTAATAAAAAGACGTACAGACACAACTCAAATCGTAGCCGTATTGCTTAAAGCTCAATTCTGGGACAATATTACGAATATTTGCCGTAACACTGGTCATAAAAAACTGACCTCGTAATTGGAAACTCGTTGAAAACGAAATACTTCACTCGAAAATAATACAAATGTTACGTCTGATAATCGACTATAGTATGAATAAAGACTACCATACCATACCGTCTTGTTTTAAGATTAAAACTCAAAAATTTCATAATTACTTGAATAAACGAAAATTAAAAAATTTACTTGCATTCGGACGTCTGATTGTGTGTGATTGTACTTAAAAGTTTAAGTACTGTAATCTAGGGCGCTTTGAACACAAGTTCTCTCCAGATTCTAAAATATATTCCAATTGACCTGGATCTGTTTTCAGGTCACGCTGTATATATCATAAACTATAGCACTCATTTATCGATCAGGAAGCAAGAGTCAGTGACACAAACAAACTGGAACAGATCGGGAACAGCCAACTCCTGCGAGACCGTCAATTGATGCTCACACGCCAATGTAATAACGGCACATCGCGCGCGAAGACTAGTGATAATAATACCTGGAGTAAACCATAGGCGACGCGAATCTTCTCAACTTTGTGAAAATCTATACTTTCCAAGTTTCCATAATGATGACTGGCAGGGCCGGCCTTGACTATCGCGAGCGTCTGTGTAAAACGGATTGCGCGGAGCGCAGATTAGAGATAAAAATTTTACATTTTTTTACTTTTAAGTACAAAGGCAATAAAATAAAATCATTTTACAACACGAACCTCAATACCAAAGCATAAACACGCTGACCTACACAGGATTAGAATTCATAATGGTTGAATTTAAAAATTCCCATCTTAGATTAGCGCGAGGCTCACGGACATGATGTGTGAGTTGGCCTAAGCAGTGGCTTTCAAACTTTTTAAGCAGCGCCTTCTTTTTTAAATTTTGTCAAGTCTCGCGCCCAATATCCAAAATAAAGAAATTTAAATATCCAAAATAAAGCGGGCGAGATCAAATCTAACAAATATTTTTATTTTTAATCAATTTGCTTCACGCCCCCGGGACTGGTTATTGCTACGTGAAATGTATACAAATGATTATCAACACCAAAATGCCCTGTGATCTTAAATCCTACAACGCCACAATTAAGCGCTGCCAGTTACAGTTTAGGATTGTCTAATAACGAATTGTTAATACTGGAACAGTATTTTAGTTTCTGAAGATATGTAAAAAGTTCGGTAGTTTACATATCTTTCCAACAGCTCGGCGGGATACGAAGCGATGGGAAGGCGGCAGGCGCTGATTAGGAACAGCTGTCGTGCGGATCATGGGTCGCCGATTGATAAAGTTATTTAGTAGCACGACAAGAAACATGACGTATTTGTTTTTGTTTACTATATTTTCGTCATCAACTCTCGGACACAGCTTAAAGAGGCGATGTTAACGACGGTTTTTCGTGATTTCGGCTATTTATATATTTGGTTTCGAAGAGTTTCGCACTCGCTTATTTCATGTCTATAATGTTATTCATGACGAGAAACACTACGTAAATATTGTCTAATAGTAAACTGAAACATCGTGACGTATCGGAATTTCCGATCGACCGTGGTCTTATTATTACGCTATCCAAATCTTAGAAACACAATCCCTTACTCAAGATAGCCTGTCAAATTTATTTCCATATACTATAATGCTAGTAGAAGATGCCTGAACTAACCAACTATTCTATGCTACGCTTTCAAATATTCAACATATTCAGGAATAAGGTTAGCTCCTAAGTTGAGTGCTAATTCCATTTAACTCAGAAGAATACGTGAAGAATGTGTTTAAATATTAAGCTGATCAAAATTTTATCCCATTTTTCAAATTATATGATATAATCAAACCAGCTTTGCTGAAATTTTCTAAGGTGCGACATGTTATGCCGATTATGGAGTAAAAATAAACTTATTATACTTGTATA